CTTATCATCGCTAGTTATTGGGGTCCTGGTTAGTGTTGTAATGCGACTCCATAACCTTTCAAACTATAGAGATCAATGTGTCATCGCTCGTGAATGGAGTCCTGGTTAATTTTATGAATGTCGTAATATGATTCTTTAATCTTAATAAAAGACTCCATTCTTTTGCCTGTTGTCTTAACCGCTTTTTTCTACGACATATTTGTGGGTATGCAGCTATCCCGTATGGTGAATAACTAAAAGCGCTTTCCAGTAGCCTGTTGGTAAACGGCTTTCTCCCAGATCTTCACAGTCAATTGATTTCGTGATTTCGTGATTCCAGACACCCTTAACGCATGCGTACTTGTCTTCAAATATTCTGTCAAAAATACCATTTACATTTCGACCATGTCTAATCAGCACGACTTATTTAATATGAGAGGAACTAGCACTGTGAGAAATGTTAACTTGTAGAGGTGAGTCAGTGGAGTTACGGTTATCCTCCCACCTTTAGATTTTTAGCGCGAACATAGCTTACATACACGGATACACAGGATAGGTACGAGATGAGAGATGAATATACAAAAATGTTTCAGTGATGAGGCCTTCTGTGCCACTTTGCGCGAAGAAGTTAGGTGAAGGTGAAGTTGCCACAATGAAACTTAATAATTGAAAGAAAATGTTAACTAACATACCTTGGTTTTTCAATCATTAATTTTAAGAGAAGGCTTTAGCTTTGGCTTTGGCTTGTGAAAATGCTTGCAAATAGATCATAAATTTTAGAAAAAGGGAAAAGTCTCTGCTTAAACTCAAAGCCTAAATGCTGACTCCTAGGTTCAAGCTAGCAGTGTCCTAATACAAAGTTTTTTGAGCCACAGCATCCTTGTTTTATTCCTAAGTTAATTTTTGGCCTTTGCCAGTGGACTGCAAGAGTTATTGTTACAATAGCAAACAGAAACTGGCAAAAAGATGAGTCATCTTGGCAGTCCTGTTGATAAAAGATGTGACATCTTCACAACAGGAATACTGATGTGCTAAAGTAACAATGGAAACAGAATGTTATCTTGCATATGCCTAATTCTTCTATTCTTGATTATTTTCTTCTTCCTTTCTTTCCCAATATTTCAAATACAAGAAGGCTTAGGCTCAAATAATTTATTATACCATTTTTGCTTACATTTATGTCATTCTAGATCTCACAGTGAACAGTAATGTAATAGGGAACACAGTTGTGTGGCAGATGATAATGATCAAATGAATAAGTCTACTGAATTCATTTAAAAGTACTATGTTTACACACTAGATGGACAGTACCATTGACACAGATAAGTCTCAAAACAGGTCAAAGCCTATCATTTGGTCAGATAGAAACACACCCAAACTACTGTGTCATGCACCAGGTCTGTTAGTAAGAGCTATTCTTCAGGGTTCTGATATTCAAAATTACACCAGAGTTAAGATAGTGTGCACTTACTTCTAAGAACTCAGAAAACAACACACCAAAACAGATGGGTTCTCAAGGCAACCCACCCAGTTTTAACTTTGTTTATTTACTTTTAGATATGTAAACAAGTTATACTTGGTTTTACTTCCAATTGGTCAAGAAATTGGCATTAATGTCTAACAATGGAAAGCCAATATGATGATAATTAGTTATTATTACAGAAAACTATACCATAAAATTTGACACTGAGTTACTGAAAACAACTCATACTTCATAATATGGGATTAACACAAACATGCTGGTACACATTTTGCAATTTATTTTCCAATTGTATACCTGGCCATCCATCGAACATTGTGGCCTTTCTGTGCTGCTGGAACTGTTTTTGTGATAAATTTTTTTTGTTTTTAATTTACTGTGGTGTGACTTTCCCTAATCCCACTGCTAACTGTGGAAGAGGGCAGACTAATACAGAGGGTTTCCACCAGCAGCCTACATGCAGTTTTCTTTTTGTTTGACATAAATAGCATAATAATAACATAATTCGTCATAAATAGCTCCTTAGAGAACTGAGAGAAGATTGCCAATTTCAGCAGTTCATAACATTTGGGTATTACACATAATCTGTAAAAATAATGTTCTTTGTTTCACTCTGCCTGTCTCATATAAAACCAAACTTCAGAAGTTAGGTTCTGGGACCCAGAGCCACCACCTTGGATTACATATTAACATTGTTTGATTTGAGACCACAACGAAGAAAGCATTTTGAATGTGAGCATCATGAATGTGAGCGAGAGCATCTGTGATATCATGACAAATGATCAGCCAGTCTTTGCTTGTCAGTGAACTGTTAACTTTCTCTAATATACCATTGGATTCTTTGCAATACAATAGTTTACTGACTGTTGCGGATGTATTTTCTTCCCCTTTGAACTCCATCACTAGAGATATAGGCTCTCTTTCAAGCTGGATTCCTATTATTTTTCTACCACAAGAACGTTTAATCTTTTGAAAGGTTTTAAAATGCACCGGCCATATGAACCCTGTCCTAGTATTAATTCCTTTTCACTGATTGGTTGAAGCTCAGATGGATCAATTAAATTAACAGTAGCAAATTTGCTACTGGGTGGTCCTGATTTTGTATTCCTGTCTGTAATCTGGAATAAAGTAATAAACAGAGGAAAAGTGAAGCTGGTCAGCTTAATAAGATTCACATGCTAGATTGTGTAATAAGTGGTAATAGGACTGAGTAGTCTTTGGTCTGTAATAATATGAGTGATAACAAAATCAGACGACTGCATAGTGGAAGTACAATTTGTTTATCACAAGTGTGATTACAGACCGAAACAAATGACACAAAGTCCTTTTACCAATTAATCATAAAAATTACAATTTCCAAATTAAAAAGAACACTTAAATATTGTCATTGCTCAAGGGAAACCAATTCTCTGTTTTAAAGAAAGCCCCAATTTAGGAATCTGTACACTATTTCTATGGTGATTGAAACCAAGGTTGTGATTGATTGATTTAAACCACAACTTTGAATGTGATTGGTTGACTTAAACTACACCTTTGAATGTATTTGGCTTATTGAACTGTCCAACAACAACTTGGCAAGTGAATTAGTGGAAAATAGGAGTTTTTAAAACTAATCACAATCGAGGAAATTGTAATTCCTATGTTAATAGATTTATTGATAAACTTTATCCCTTTCATATAATACAAACAGAACTTTCCAAGATTCCCTGACTATTAAGGTACTGACCTATCCATGATAAAAATAAAATTTCCCTGATGAAATGGATACAAAATGTCCAGTCTCCTCTTCTTCATTAAAACATTGCTGAGATCATCTGAAATATTTCTTCCAGCATGGTATGAAACTCAGTGGTGTAAAAACTTTAATTTCCCTGACTTTTCCCTGACCTTGAAATTTCTATCCCTGGCCATTTTTTGATCTGTGGTAACCTTGGTAGAGCAAGATCAACACTACATGGCAAGATGGAAGGGAAAATGCTCAAAGCTCAATGACTGTCCTTTTCAGACGAAAGTTTAGCCTGTCTGCTTGGCAAACAGAAATGAATGAATTCCCGTTAAATCATTTCTTAATGAGGCAATTTCAAGTGGGGATTCCTTGCCCTATTTTACGAAAATGATTGTAGTTTTTTTTTCATTTCATCATAAAAAGGAGAAAAATTTTGAGGGCTACACTCTCCCCTCCCCCTATGAGTTTATGTTGAAGTCAACCCCAGGACGTTTTGTACAATGCAAGACAATGCTAGTTTGATTACGTTCAGCGTCAGTTCGGTGATATCGTTTTTTGTAACCAACTGCTCATTTTCTGATATCTATTTTAATCTATTTTGACGCTAACCGAGTACCTACCTTGGTTTTGTCCAGGGTCTTTTTATTCTGTTCGACTAATGCTTTCCATTTGCTATAATACATTCGCGCCAAGAATATGCATCTCTTTCCTTTTGTGTTCTCATTTCTCTGTTCTCCCTTTCCCTAGCTGTCCTTGACAATCGTTCACGTTTCCTCCTTTGATTTCGCATGCTGCGTTTTTTTTCGATTGTACTTTCCCGAGATCGTCGTAGCATGATTACTTTGCCAAGCACGCGCCAAGCGCGCGCTTTTTGTTGGCGATCGTCTTCGGTACTCGATTCCCTTTGGCTGAGTTTGTGCCCGCGTTTCCATACTGATATAATGTTGTAGAAAATTCTAGTGGACAGCGGCCTATCTCAACGCGATAAAACGATAAAAATTAACCGGAAAGCTTTGTTCGCAGTGAATGTACAACTACGAAGAATTAATGTGGATGAAACAGGGTACAAGGTTTATGCAAGGACTACCAGGAAAAAAAAAAGCAGTTGAAATCCTCCAAGTATAAAGTTTTTTTAAATGTAAAATGCGTTTCAATATCACCCGACCTGCCACAGACTTCTGATCAGATTTATTATTCCCTCATCGGTAGTAGTATATCCTGTGCCAATTACGTAAGTGGAAGTCATGTTTACTGACAAAGTTTGACAAGCGATGACGTGTCATTGATGCCTAACATTCCCTCATCGGAAAATTGAGACATGTATAGGTCTGTTGGTGTTCTGGTTCACTTTCAGTTAAACGACATTTCTGTCACAAAGTGACGAGATTATGACGCCTTGCGGTAAGCATATTGAAGCAACCTGGAGCGCTACCAGATACTCCAGAAAAAAAGCCCATACAAAGCCTTAGAAAAGTTTTCTAAGGCTTTGTATGGGACAACGGGAGGTACTTACAGTGCACGCGTTTTCCGTCCTGTCATGTTACGTCAAGAGATTGTAAGAGACTATATTCTCTTTTGCACGTATATTTTTCCTTCGATGAATAATTTATGCATTCAAAATAAAGTTCGGTAGCATGTAAAATGCTCTTTAAAAGCTTAGGTTCGTGTCTCCATTGCCTTCCATTTATTTGTTTTAAGTGACCAGCAAAAAATACTATCGACAGACCTCGAGCAAAAATTTAAGCGACAAGCGTTCTCTATCGGTCAGCTTTGCACTAAAAGTACTCATACGATCGTGTATGACTCGAGGATGGTCTAACTCCATGGACAGCAAAGTGCTTGTCGGATTGTCAGCTTCATTGCTCGTCTCACTTCACTAATCTTCCAGCAGTAAAGAAACGGGTTTAACGTCGAGTTAAAGTAAACTAAGATAGTTGCCATTGCAAATGCGACGCTTAAATGCGAGGAATATGTTTTACCTACAGTGACTACAATTCCTACAATAAAGAATGGTGTATAACAAACAACTAATGCTAACTGTACCCACAGTGCACTGTGCACTGCCTTTCTGTATCGTGTCATGTGCAGTGCATTTGGTTGCCTCGGCTGTTGTTGAACGTGATCTTGTACTTGAGCCTGATGATGTCTTAGAGTGCAAAAAATCTTCGTATACGAGGCGAGTGAAATAAGCAGTGAAAGTGGTATCAATATCCAGTAATACAAAACAATTATACGCTGATCAAAAATGGCGCATATAGAGGCGACAAGACAAAACAACCAAAAGGTGGCTACAGTGACATAAATGCGCTTCAAAGTTACAATCTCTTTGTATCTCAGGCCCAACAACAGGGCGAGAAGTCTGTCCACGCTTATTGCCGTCATCGTAAGCAAAGAAACTCCACATAATACAGAGCTTGTTATGATATCTGTTTCCGCTGCGTAATGACAAAGACTGCCGTATTCGTGAACCATGGACATCCAATAAGTAACATAGAGAGGCTGAGCAGCAAGGCCAACCAACAGATCAGTTGTTGCCAGACAACGATACAAGAACTTGGACGCCGGATGAAGGGGAGATTCTTTGTTAAGGGCAACAAGGATAAGAGAATTACCAAGAAATGTTGTGATGGAGAGCAAAGTATTGACTGCTGCGAAAGAAACTGATGCTGATTGAAGCCCACCCACGAAAGAGGGAGAGCATAACAGTTCATCGAATGTTTTCTTCTGTGTTCCACCGCTACTGAAATTTGTTGTCGGCATTACTCTGAATTCGTTTCCTTTTTCTTGCACTGAGGTTTTCAGTTATAGCAAAAAGAAACACTTTGTCTAAACAGCACACGCCGAACGATGATAACTGAAACCTCCTTTAATAAACACATAATGACTTCCTCATTAACGTTTAATCATTTAAAATGCATCAGAAATTTGCAGCTGTGGTTTGCCTCAGGTTTAAAAGTGATGCTGATTGATGCCCACCCACTAAAGAGGGGGAGCATAGCAGTTCTTCAATTGTTTTCGTCTTTGTTCCAACTCTTCTTCAATTTTTTTGTAGGTTATCTAAGATTGCAACGAGTAATATGTCGTCTAAACAGCCCACATCCAGCCACGATCAATGAAACCTCATAATTCAGTTAATGATATTCATACACGTAGAGAATTCCTCATCAGCGTTAACTCATTTAAAATCTTCAGAAAATTGTCAGTTGTGTTCAAAAATTGAACCTTTGAAGTGCCTCAGGTATGAAATGGAAATAAGTAGAAAATGGAGAGACATCTGTGGTATCATTCTTTTAAAAGAACGACGAACAATCTCCTTTTATCTAGATCAACTTTCACTGATAGGGTGCTAACCTGGTGTCCATTTCATTCGTGTGAAGTTCAGACTTGTATCGTTAATAGCCATGAAAAATTGGAAATAAAAATTTCAAGCTGGTGGTTTTATTTGGTCTTAGAAAAGTTGGATTTGAGACAATCTGCGAATACATCAAACAATTCAAATTTAAATTTTGGTCACAGATACAAACGTATTTTTAAATGTTTGAATCAATTTGTAAGGACGGGTTTTTTCTTTCCGGTTTTCGTCCCCGGACAGACAGACAACGATACAAGAGTTTGGACGGCGATTTCAATTTCGTAAAAATGATAACACATTGTTTCTAAAGTGACAACATCTCCAAAATTCATAATTATGAACATTTTCAGCTAAAAACAAAAAAACAAAAAAAAAACAAATTCAAGTTTATAACTGGCCCTGTGACTGGCTCATATCGCAATATATTTCAAGTGCTTAAGTCTAGAAGCCGGATTAAGAACTCAAAGGCTAATTACGAAAGGGAAATATCACAAAGTGGTAATATGGACTCACAATACAGACAAACATACTGCGGGAAACGCGCGAGAACAAGACAAAATATTCACTTCTTTGATACCAATTTTTATTCGAACTTTATATTTTTTCATTTTCGATCTAAAATGTTTCTTACAAGAGCAGATATGGTTACTAAATATTCTTAAGAAGTGATTTAAACACTGAAAAATGCGATTATTACTCTTCTTCAACTTATTGTAGCAACGGCAGCTTTAAAACTAAACAAGCATATATCTGTCGCAACCAGCAGTTTATTAATATTCCAGTAGGTTAAGTTGAATTTAACTTTAAATTAGCATTAAAAGTTAATTCCTTTGGCAAGCACATAGACATCGGTAATATTTTTGTTTGACGATATGATAAAGAAACTCTCTTTGGTCACTTTTGAGATGACAACATAAGCGGTTTAAGGGATATATTTAAATATACTGTCATTCTTTTGGGCAGGTAATTAAGTGCAAAGATTACCCTTGTATTGTGGTGAATTCTGAATTCCTAAAAGGCTTCATGGAACGAGTTCAAAGAAAAAGGAGCGAAAGTTAGGAATAATTAATCACTCGGAGACATTGGATCAATAAAACTTGAAGAAAACTTAATCACAGACCAGTATTAAACTGGATATAACAAATATTTCAAAATTAGAAATCTGTGATAGAAACGAGAAAAATATTTCGTTTACACGCCAATTGCACAACGATGATTTCTGGAACCCTATTTCCTACGTGACATCTCAAATAAAAACTTCCTGACTATTGTTTACACGTTTGAAATATGTCTGAAAATTGTTTGTTATGTCAAAAAAGCCTTTTTATGTTCCTAACTTGTTACTGCTGAACATCACGTATGAAATAACAATAAGAGGCAAATATTTAAAGACATCTTTAAGATTATTTTTTCATGTTGCAACAAACAATTCCGCTTTATTTAGCTTGCGAGAAGGCACTCACTATCAAGGCTTCAGTACGAGTTACTTCGCCCGTGAATAAGTTTGAGACTTTGAGCAACACGACCCGGGGCGAAGGAACGTCGTGCCGCAGTGCTAATAATTCGAACATGGAACCATCGAGGGCCGATGTTTACACAACATAGTTGATCGATATTGGGTGGCAATCAAATGTCCATATCATTTACGTGAATAAGGTTGAGCCATTGCAACAGATGCAAACTTACTTCAAAATGTTTGAATTAAACAGCGTCATTAGTAACATTTAGTGGCTCTTTTAGCTCCGTTTCGTCTCGGACAAAACGAGAAACAAAACAGAAGAAAAGCAGGAAATTACTTTTTTAAACAATTTTTCGCTGTTTCTTTTACATTCTCTATTTGTTCTCCTCCTTTCGCCAAAAATTTTAAAATGATAGTCCTGGAAAAAATTACATAACAAAGTTCGCCTAAATTTTCCTCTGCCAACGCTTCCATGTACATAGCTGTGACTGAATTCTTCATGTCGTAATTCCCCTGAGCGATTTGCCATTCTCCTCCGATAACCAGAGTTATATGATTATGCTAAATTGAACATGATAATCTATTGATCGAGAAGGAAAATGAAGGAATGGATACTTAAAAACTATCAACACTCGATTAAAATATTTAACAATTCACCGAAGGTGAAGTGAATAGTTAAAAACTACACCTTGTTAGACCTACATAAACAGCATTTATTATTTATGAACCTACGATCACTCTTGGTTGCGTGTTAAGCTACTCCAGCGTATCTTTCCAGCTCTCCAAACTTCCTGTGTGCATCGTATATTAATGACCGCTCACTGACGCACGAAGCAATTTTTAAAAATACCCTGTCAAAGATTAGGAAAAATTAGTTAACCACCACAGATTCGCCGCCTCGTTTTAAGTTGGAAAAATTTTAGTTTTCGCAAAATAATTACTCTCTATAGATTCAACATTTTATTCCGGCTTCAAATCAGTCATTTCATTTACCAACGGAGGATTAGCTGACAGAAAAGTCAGACGAAAGACTTAATCGCTACAAGATGCGTCAATCCTTCCTTTAACAAGAGTTCTTTCCCAGGGAATTTTCTTTCTGATCCTATCTGATAATTCAGTACCTTGATAATTAAACGAGAACATGTTCGTCGCAACCAGCTGTTGATTTCAGTAAGTGACCTTTCAGTTTAATTTCAAATTAGCGTTGAAAGTGAATTCCCTTGACAAACACAAAGACATGGGCTATATTTTTTTGTTTTATAATACGTTATGGGACTCCTAAGTCTTAAAAGATCGATATCATCACTTCTTTAACGGGTGAAATAAACATGTCGTTATTAGGGCGATAATTAGATGGTATAATATTGAAGCAAACTCTGAGCTCATACAAAAGCTTTGAAAAAAACTGAATAAAAAAAAAAAAAAATTGGGGAACTTAGGGACAGCAGTTAATCGCTCGGAAATGGAGGAAATAAATTCCGTAAAACTCACAGACAACTTAAGGATACACCAGCGACAAACTGGACATATAGTGATCTCTATACAAATGATGCGAAACTTGTTTTCGCCGTTGCCAATATAATTTCAGAACATCGATCGATCTGTAAAAAATTCTGTAATAAACAGAGATGGTCAATTTTATTCCGTATACTTTCGTAACCTTCAGGTAAATATACAAGTAGCAAAAACTTCTTCACATAAGCTTTACGGATAATATTCTGATCACAAAACAAACAAATTGGACCGTCTCTTTTGGAAATACGGCGTCAACATCAACGTCAAGCGTTTTCTTTTAATTATAGGAAAAGTAGTTGAAATAGTTTTATCGTAGCACACACCATCGGCCTCAAACACATCTCTTAAACTACTATTTGAAGTTTTATCTAATGCCTTCATATTACTAAGAGGAGAAAACATGAAAGTAAAATGTTTGCATATCTTTTCTTCGATTATGACATCTTGTATTTTAGCATAGCGGCAAGAAACCTTATTTTTGAAAACACATAGCTAGGGTTACTTAGTCCGTCGTTAAATTGTTGTCAGAGATATAAAGACTATCGACAACAGCCTGTGCAACTATTCTATTAAGCCACTTATTTACTTTTATCCAAAAATCGTATTTAACGACTTCTCTCTAATAATAATCATGACTTAATGAGTTTGCTTTGAAAGTCTGAAGAACTCAAGGAAGATCTTACTCAGCAAAGTGCTTGTCTAACTGTGTGCTTCACTGCTTGTCTCACTTCACTAATCTTCCAGCAGTATAGGAACGGGTTTAACGTCGAGTTAAAGTAAAGTAAAGTAACTGCTACTTCCCATGTGACAACCGAGAGTAATGAATATTTTTTAGTATGAGTGATCACAATTCCCAGTACATATATTGGTACATAACAAACAACTAATGCTAACTCCACCCAAAGTGCACTGTACACTGCCTCTCTGAATCGTGCCATGTTCTGTGCTTTTGTTTGGCTCGACTGTTGTTGATCTCCTACTTGTGCTTGATAATATCTGAGAGTGCAAAAAATCTTTGCGTACGATTTGAGTGATATTATCAGGCAAAATGATGTAACTAGCCTGCTATACAAAAGGATTATACGGCGATAAAAAATTCCACATAAAGAGGCGACAAGAGTAAAAACCCAAAAGGTAGTTACAATAATATACGTGCGCTTCAAAGTTACAATTTGTTTGTATCTCAGCCCCAACATCAGGGCGAGAAGTCTGTCCACGCTAATGGCTGTCATCGTCATCAGAGATACCAAAAACAATACACTACCGGTGATGAAGACTGCGTAATATGCGTATCGACAAAGGCTCCACTGTTCTTGAACCACCGACATCAAATATGCAGCATAAAGAGGCTGGACAACAAGACCAACCAACAGATCAGTGGTTGCCAGACAACGATACAGGAGTTTGGACGGCGGATGCAGGCAAGATTCCTTGTGAAGAGCCACAAGGATAAGGGAATTTCCAGCAAATGCTGTGATGGAGAGAAGAATGTCAACCGTTAAGAAACAAATTGATAGTTGTTGTTGAAGCCCACCCGCCAATGAGGGAGAGCATAGTAGTTCTCCAAATGGTTTCGTGTGACTTCCACCGCTACTGAAATTTGCTGTCGACATAATTCAGTCCTCGGCATTTCCTCTTTCTGGTAGGTTTCTGTTCTTGCAACGAAAAATGGCAAGGATTACTGAAGCCTGACTTCGTAACTAACAAGCGCATAAAGACTTACTCACTTTAAATGCATCAGGAAATTTTCTATTGGGTCAAAAAAAATTATTCTTTCTCCCGGGAACCTCTGGGTGCCTCTGTCATGAAATAGCAATTAGGGGCAAATATAGAAACATCTGTTATTTCGGTGTTTTCACGGTGCGACAAAGAGTCGCTCTTTACCAGAATCAAATTTCATTCTAATAGGATGCAAATCAAGGGCCATATCTTTCGTGTGAAGTTAAGACTTGAATTATCAGCTACGGAAAGCTAAAAATGCAAAAGCTCAAGCTGGCGATGTCAATTGTTGTAGGAGAAGAATTGAATTCGTGACAATCACCGAATGTACTACGTAGACTACACAACTATTCAAAATTAATGTACGGCCACACATACAAACCTGTTTCAAAATATTTGAAATTAACTGTGTATCTAATTGTGCTTTGTGGCTTTTTTTTCTCTCCGTTTTCGTGTCCGACTAGAACCAAAAACAAAATGGTAAAAAGATCAAGTTATTACGCCAGAAAATTATTTTCTGCAATTTCCTCTTTCACTTCAACTGTAGCCCTTCTCCTTTGGCCGGCAAATTTATATTGATTGTCCCGGATAATGACGAACGAAAGATGGCCCACTATAGACCCTAGAATAATTAATGTAATTTATTTGCTTCAAAACGAGGTAAGAACAAAGCATACTCATTCTTCAGCCCGATGACGACGGAGAGTAAAAAAAATCTTTGTGTACAAGATGATTGAGGTTAGCAAATATAGTGATATGCCTATACGACCAAGCCATAAGATTATGCGGTAATTAAAAAAATACAACAACCCGGAGAAACTTGAGAAAACCCAAAAGATGGCTACAATGAGATATGTGCGCTTGAAAGTTACAATATGTCTGTATCTCAGCCCCAACATCAGGGCTAGAAGCCTGTCCAAGCTTATGGCCGTCATCGCTGACAAAGACACTCCGCATAATGTATAGCCTATTATGTAGGCTGCGTTCCTTGCGTATTGACAGAGACTCCAGTGTTCGTGAACCAAGGACATCTAGTAAGTAGCCATGATAGACTGGCTAAAAATGCCAACCAACAGGTCAGTTGTTGCCAGACAACGATACAAGAGTTTGTGAAGGGCAAAAAAGAGAAGAGAATTCCCAAGACTGGTTATGATGGAGAGGAGAACATAAACTGCTGAGTAGTAGATAGATTGTGGTTAATTTTTTTTACCAAAGAATGGGTGCTCCATCTTCGGTTAGATTTGTGTCCGCTATCATTCTGCAGTCGTTTAGTTTTTTCCTTCAGAATACGTATGATCGCAAAAGGAAATATTTCGTCTTGAGAGCACCTGCCCAGCGTTGATCACTTAAACTTTACTTTTTTCAGAATAATCATATGAAAACTTTTTCAGTCGCGTTTACTCGTTTGAAATGCTCGGAAATATTGTCAGTTGTGTACAAAAAAAATGGTGAACCATTTTTCTTAAAGCCTTACTTTTACCTCAGCTATGATTTATCAAAACGAGGTAAGAACAAAACATTTGCGAATGTTAATATTTTATGGCGCGATAGACAATCCTTCGTCGCGCAGACGAACAATCATTTTATTCAGGTATAGCGCATTTATTGAAAACGAGACTGACAATGCTTTGTCAAACAAAGTTATTCATCATTTAATTTCGTTACTCAATAATCACTTTCTTCGCTTTTTCTTCAGGTTACTCGTAACTGCATGTAACGAGAGATATTTTTGTCTTGAAAGCGCCTGCCAGGCTACAATCACGTAGACCTTTTCATTGAAACTTTCTCAGTAATGCGGTTCACTTATTTAACATGCGAATACTCAATGCTTCTTCTGTCACGTGACCTGTTAATTTCTTCCCAGGAGTCGCATTAAATATAGCTTTTTGTAAATTTCTTTGTAACGGGTAATTCTGTCATGTTATTCCATCAATAAACTCTAAAAATTCCCTCCAAATTTAAGAAAGGTTTTTTTATAGCAAACTTCCCTGCAAATTATCTTTGTTAATTAAGAGAGGCTGGATGTTTGTCGCCTAACTGTGTTGCGCGTCAAAACTACATTACATGTTTATTCAACTTGGTAAGTTTAATCTTTGAATAACTTTGCGCTAAGAGGTAAAAATAAAAATAAAAGAATTTCCTTTTTTTATCACTCACAGTATAAGGCAAAAACTGTCCCTACTAAGGAAGAGCGACGTTGATAGGATAAATGAGTAAGTGTTGAAAGAAAGTCTGAAGAACAACCCGAGGAAGACCTGACTCAACCATGTGTTTCTTTAATTGTCTGCTTCACTTTTTGTCTCACTTCACTAATCTTCCAGAATTAGCAGTTTATTTAGATATACTGTCATTCTTTTGGGACGATGATTAGGTGGCAAAAAACGTTTTCTGCAGCGTGGTTAATTATCAATTCCAAAATAGGTTTATCAAACAACTTTAAAGAAATAAAGAAGCGAAAATCAGCAATAATAAATCGCTCGGAAGTGGAAGAAATGGATTCAATAAAACTTGAATATATTAAATATTTTCAAACATTTTTCATGCAATACTGTCCCCCCCCCTTAATTTAGGATTTACAAAAGTGACCGATCGGGAGGAGAACTCTGTAACAACCATTTACAGTCAGTTTCATTTCGCACCCTTTGGTGATTGCGTTAAGCACAGGAAGCCCATGAGCGTGAGAATGCTTATCTTCGCCTTCCCCTTCCTTGCTCGGCATTGTTTGAAATTGCTTCGTTTGCTAAAATGCCGACATGTGGCTACTCCGAGTTCGTTGGTGGTTCTTGTAGTTCCCGCAAGACCGGTGGAGAAAGTAAATGCATAGCCCTAACTAAGTGCAAAAGAGACATCCAAGGTCATCTTAAAACATATAAATGCCATGATGCTCAGCTGAAAAGTGAATTCATTCTTCTTCTCGGCAGAGCAGGTAAATATCTCATTATCAAACATGTCAAGAATGTTTAGCAAAGGCAAATACTGTATCACTATTTGTCCTGCTTTTCTATTTTGCACTACGATCAATGAGGTTATAACGTGACACAGTTCAACGCCCTTGATTTTATCTTTGCTTTAAGATTTATCTCTTGAATCCACATAAACGCTTGAATCCAAGACAACAGGATGCTAAACAGCATTATATGTTGTCATGAAATATAAAGCATTGGTCCATGCCTACAATTTATTTATTTAGTTATTTATCCATTCCTTCCTTCTTTCATTCCTTCATTTATACACTTATTTATTTATTTATTTATTTATTTATCTATTCATTCATTTATTTAATAAGTACACATATTTTATAACTATTATAAATAAGATCCATTATATTTACATTATTTTACGAAATGGGTCTGGGGGAGGGCCGGACCTTGCATTGAATTGCGCACCCTCTACACCAAACTAAGTTCCCATGATATGAAATTTCGTTTGTTTGTTTCGTTGTCTTATGTTTTTGTTTATGTGTGTGTGTGCGTTTGTTTGTTTGGTTTGCTTGTTTCTTTTGCTTTCTATTTCTATCATTCTGAGTGAACAAATAAACGACTTCGCTCTTTCAGGTATATTTGAAGTCGAGGAAAGCCATAAAGAACTTTCAATTTGTCCCAGACATAGAGACGACTTCGGGACTAGATGGTTATGCAATAAAAAAAAAAATGCTCCTGTCCATCGGATTGGGCTCCACATGGGAAGTCTTCTCGGAAAGGTGATCGAGGCATGACTCTGCAACAGTCTCAAAAGCTTTATGCTTTAACATCTACGCTTCAGTTCCGGTGGGGGTCACGTGAGTATACATCAGAATTCCATCCTGACCGCCACCTTGATAAGAGATAGTATCGGGATAGTAGAAGAGAAAACTACCCTCATTGATAAAAGCAAAGATACTTTATGTGCAAACGCTGACAGAAGGAACAAGCACACAACCTCAGATGGCCAGCTTTACTGTACTGATGTCAAGCTCGACAAAACTTTCGGAAGCCTGGGCACTGATGGCGTCTAAGAAATGAAAGCATTTCAACGAAAACCAAAAGAATTATCTCGATGAAAAGTTCAAACTTGGCCAGGAGACTGGTTACAAAGAAAATCTATCCCAAGTTGCGAGTGATATGCGTCGCGCTGAAAATGAAAACGGAGAGCGTCGATTTGCTGTTGGCGAGTTTTTATCACCACAGCAGATAAAGTCGTATTTCTCAAGATCAGCAGCAAAGATCAAACAGGCGGATCGGTGGCAGAGATCGATGTACCAGCCATTTATGAAGAAATGGCATACTCCTCAGCTCATGACAAGATAATTCAAGAGTGCCAGCTTAGTCATCCCATTTTGTATGACACATACAACCTCTGTCAACTGTATGCCACGAGCAAGCTTACTCGTTTCATTATTTCTTTCCTTCAAGATATATGCACATATTTCCAATTGGAAATTGATTCCCTTCCTGCTACACGAAAAGCGCCATAAGTTGGTCTGATCAATGACCTGATAAAGTCGTGTACGTGCAAAGAAAAATAGGAACTTTCCAGCTGCAAGTGACCATGGTCTTCGTATTCAGAAAGTAATGACTCCTGGAATAGAGGGACACCAACATTATTCCAACTGCCTTGAGAGAAATAAGTACAATAGCTGCATATGCGTCATACACGGCTACGATATGTCATTATCCCTTTGTAGCTTTGTTATAAAAAAAATCGACAGTGAAAACCTCACGTTTACATAAACATGTTTTAGATCGAAAGGATTTTATAAAGACCAACCTTGTTCTGTCAAAAACGTTGGTCATCTTCTGTATCATTCTCACCTAATGGACTTCCTGTGTGTAACGCAATCACATACCATCGATCGCACTGCAGTGGCGAGAAATGGTAGCATGGATAAGTTTTGAAAACGGTGAAGCGGGTTAAAGTGCGTACTCTTGGCATGGAAACCACTTCTAAAAGTAACGTTTTGTGTAATTATAGCCTGGGCAATTCCTTCTGATGTTAAAAAAGTTTTTGTTATCGTTGGGTTGGTATTAGTTGCGAATATGACCGTTGCAACAACATAAACCAGCAATTTGCATATACTAGACTATCCAAGATTGCCCAGATTGCCTTGACTTTTTGGCTTCAGGAGGAAATCATATGTATATTTAATATGAAAGAGACCTGTTTCGAAGTTTTTATATGATATAAGAGGGAATTCGAGTGTCTTGGTAATGTTTTTCTTAATATGACGTGCAAGTCACGTTGGTCACGTAACGCGCCTCTTAAGCTCAAATACGCTTATATAAATCCCCCTAAAAATTAGTAATTTAAATAGCCCAAAAAATTTATTGCAGTTTCTAAAAGAAGAAGCCTTGTTCTTGACAATGATTATTGTCTCATGGTCAGTTTATGGAGCCATGTGACAATGGCCGATTTTAGTCGCCAAAGTTGAGCTATGTTTTGATAGATGAAATTTCACCCGAATTAGAAAATTCGTAAAAAAATCGTTTTTTTGAGGAATCTTGGAAAAAATACTTCAGAACCTTTGAAAAATATCTCTTGTTTTAGAATTGTTATGTTGTTTCCGAATTGCTGGCGAAATAAGTTTTTTTAGGCTGTTATCTTGAGGTGTACTATTTCACCGGGAAAACACGGTTATGAACCCCCAAAACACAAAATGCCACCGTTCTCCCAACATAATTTTTTTTCGGCATTTTTTATATTTTTCCATAACTAAGGCCATTTATACCTATATTCTGGCAAAGTTTGAAAAAATTTTAATTTTTTTCATTTTCAACACCTTTTGTCGATTTTCACAGACGACCACTCTTAAACCACTCAGCAAAATGTTTGTCTAATTGTGTGTTTCACTGCTTGTCTCACTTCACTAATCTTCCAGCAGTATAGGAACGGGTTTAACGTCGAGTTAAAGTAAAGTAAAGTAACTGTTACTTCCCATGTGACGACCAAGAGTAATGAATATTTTTTAGTATGAGTGATCACAATTCCCAGTACATATATTGGTACATAACAAACAACTAATGCTAACTCCACCCAAAGTGCATTGTACACTGCCTCTCTGAATCGTGCCATATTCTGTGCTTTTGTTTGGCTCGACTGTTGTTGATCTCCTACTTGTGCTTGATGATATCTGAGAGTGCAAAAAATCTTTGTGTACGATGCGAGTGATATTATCAGGCAAAATGATGTAACTAGCCTGCTATACAAAAGGATTATACGGCGATAAAAAATTTCACATAAAGAGGCGACAAGAGTAAAAACCCAAAAGGTAGTTACAATAATATACGTGCGCTTCAAAGTTACAATTTGTTTGTATCTCAGCCCCAACATCAGGGCGAGAAGTCTGTCCACGCTAATGGCTGTCATCGTCATCAGAGATACCAAAAACAATACACTGCCGGTGATGAAGACTGCGTAATATGCGTATCGACAAAGGCTCCACTGTTCTTGAACCACGGATATCAAATATGCAGCATGGAGAGGCTGGACAACAAGACCAACCAACAGATCAGTGGTTGCCAGACAACGATACAGGAGTTTGGACGGCGGATGCAGGCAAGATTCCTTGTGAAGAGCCACAAGGATAAGAGAATTTCCAGCAAATGCTGTGATGGAGAGAAGAATGTCAACCGCTAAGAAACAAATTGATAGTTGTTGTTGAAGTCCACCCACCAATGAGGGAGAGCATAATAGTTCTCCAAATGGTTTCGTGTGACTTCCGCCGCTACTGAAATTTGCTGTCGACATAATTCAGTCCTCGGCATTTCCTCTTTCTTGTAGGTTTCTGTTCTTGCAACGAAAAATGGCAACATCGGCCTTAAGCACTTAAGCACATCAACCCACTTCACGGGTTCACAGGAATGTTCTTCCAGATCGAACTGATTTGCTCACATGCTAAACTTCATTTATGGTGCAAAAATTGGAGCCATTGAAGCCACTAAATTGGTTCCAAACTTGGTGGAAAAACAGCCCAAATACTACTAAATAGTTCTCACAGCGCACTTTCAGCAACGGAAAGCTAAAAATGCCAAAGCTCAAGCTGGCGATGTCAATTGTTGTATGAGAAGAATTGAATTCGTGACAATCACCGAATGTACTACGTAGACTACACAACTATTCAAAATTAATGTATGGCCACACATACAAACCTGTTTCAAAATATTTGAAATTAACTGTGTATCTAATTGTGCTTTGTGGCTTTTTTTTCCTTCGTTTTCGTGTATGACTAGATCAAGTTATTACGCCAGCAAATTATTTTCTGCAATTTACTCTTTCACTTCAACTGCATAGCCAGAAATCCGTGACAGCATGGCCGCCACGCACGCGCATCGATATCGAACTCGGTCTTTGGTTACAAACGAGTCGCAAAATCACTACAAGGAAAACAGCGCACTTTCAGCAAACCTTCTTTTAATAATTGCTCCTGTGTTGCAACCGCCAGAGGAGACAAGTTCTTCCAGATCGCAAAATAAAGTGGATTATATGTACAATCTTTTGCTGCGTGCTCTATGTGCATTTCCATGTGTTAAAGCGGTTCTCGAAGCAATTTTTGTTGGACGTAGAAATCCTCGCACTCCGCCATACATTTTCTTAATAACTGTCTTAGCATAAATTGTCGAAAATCAACCCACTTCACGGGTTCACAGGAATGTTCTTCTAGATCGAACTGATTTGCTCACATGCTAAACTTCATTTATGGTGCAAAAATTGGAGCCATTGAAGCCACTAAATTGGTTCCAAACTTGGTGGAAAAACAGCCCAAATACTACTAAATAGTTCTCAATGTGACGCCATTTTTAAAACGCAAGAAAAATTTCGGGAAAACGCCATGTTTTTAGTCGACCGTCAACCGTAGTTTCTAGCCCCTTCGTCCTCCATCTTGAATCCCAAAATGCTTTACTTGACCTATGTAACCGTGCCTTTGATAAATTGTGCAATGGCGTTTCGCCCTATGATGTAATTTCCTTTCTTCTTCCAAATGGTCAACGAGATAAGAAAAATGGGCGCTAACTGAAAGTAGAGGAGGCGGAGAAACCATTGTTTTGCACCAGCCATGATGGCCCTACGCGCTAGGTATCATTTTAATCCTAGAGATCCATCGGGTACCAAAATATTAATTTCTTTTTCGTTTGATGCCAATTTTCATGTTCAAACTTGATATTTTTCATTTTCGATCTACCATTTTTCTTACAAGTGCAGATATAGTTACTAACCATTCTTAAAAAATGAGTTAATCACTGAAAAGTGCGAATATTAAATCAATTTCTTTTGTAGGTGCCTTTTTTCCTTAGGAAGCTTGCTTCTACTCTGATAACTCATTGTGGCGACGACAACTTAAAAACTAAACAAGCATATATTTGTCGCAACCAGCTGTATATTCCAGTAGGTTAAGTTGAATTTAACTTCAAATTAGCATTAAAAGTTAATTTCTTTGGCAAGCGCACAGACATCGGTAAAATTTTCCATTGACGATATGATAAGGAAACTCTCTTTTGTCAGTTTTGGAATGACAGCATAAGCGGTTTAAGCGGTATATCTAAATATACTTTCATTCTTTTGGGCCTGTATTGTGGTAAATTCTGAATTTGAAGGCAGATGTTTATACAACATAGTTTCATCGACATTGGGTGTCAATCAAATGTCCATATCATTTGCGTAAATAAGATTGAGCCATGGCCTCAGATGCAAACTTAATTAGTAACATTTTGTGGCTCTTTTACCTCCGTTTCGTCTCCGACAAAACGAGAAACAAAACAGAAGAAAGGCAAAAAATTACTTTTTTAAACAATTTTTCGCTGTTTCTTTTACATTCTCTATTTGTTCTCCTCCTTTCGCCAAAAGTTTTAAAGTGATCGTTGAAAAAATTGTAAGACGAAGTTCGCCTAAATTTTTCTCTGCCAACGCTTCCATGTATATAGCAGTGACTGAATTCTTCATGTCGTAATTCCCCTGAGCGATTGGCAATTCTCCTCCGATAACCAAAGTTATATATGACTGTGCTAAATTGGACATGATAATCTATTGACCGAGAAGGAAAATGAAGGAATGGATACTTAAAAACTATCAACACTCGATAAAAATATTCAACAATTATTTGCCGAAGATGAAGTGAATAATAATATTGTTGATTATTCCCGCGACGATGTCGAGTTAAAAACTACGCCTTGTTAAACATACATAAACAGCATTTATTATTTATGAACCTACAACCACTCTTGGTTGCGTGTTGAGTAACTCCCACGTATCTTTCAAGCTCTCCAAACTTCCTGCGTTTATCGTATATTTAATGACCGCACAGTGACACACGAAACAACTGTTAAAAATAACCTGTCAAAGATTAGGACCACCACAAACACGCCGCCTCGTTTTAAGTTGGAAAAATTTTCGTTTTTGCAAAACGATTTCTCTCTATAGATTTAATATTTTATTCCGGCTTCAAATTAGTCATTTCATTTACCAACGGAGGATTAGCTGACAGAAAAATCAGACGAAAAACTTAATCGCTGAAGATGCGTCAATCCCTCCCTTGACAAGGGTTCTTTCCCAGGGAATTTTCTTTCTGATCCTCTATGATAATTCAGTAGCTTGATAATTAAACAAGAACATGTTCGTCGCAACCAGCTGTTGATTTCAGTAAATAAAGTTTCAGTTTAATTTCAAATTAGCACTGAAAGTGAATTCCCTTGACAAACACAAAGACATGGGCTATATTTTTTGTTTTACAATACGATATGGGCCTCCTAAGTCTTAAAAGATCCATTTTGTCACTTCTTTAATGGGTGAAATAAACATGTCGTTTTTAGGGCGATAATTAGATGGTATGATATTGAAGCAAAGTCTGAGCTTATACAAAGCCTTGAAAACGACTCAATAAAAAAAATTGTGGAACTTAGGGACAGCGGTTAATCACTTGGAAATGGAGGAAATCAAATCCGTGAAACTCAGAGACAACCTAAAGATACATAAGCGACAAACTGGACATATGGTGACCTCTATACAAATGATGCGAAACTTGTTTTTCGCTGTTGCCAACATAATTTCAGAACATCAATCGATTTGTAAAAAAATTCTGTGACAAACAGAGATGGTCAATTTTATTCCATTTACTCAGACTTCTCCTCATGAGCTCTACGGATATTTTTCTGATTACAAAACAAATTCAAGACTAAAGCTGGACCGTCTCTTTTGACAATATGGCGTCAACATCAACGCCAAGCGCTTTCTTTTAATTATAGGAAAACTAGTTGAAATAGTTTTATCGTAACACACAACATCGGCCTCAAACACATCTCTCAAACTACTCTTTGAAGTTTTATCTGATGCCTTCTTATTGCTAAGAGTAGAAACCTTGACAGTAAAATGTTTGCATATATTTTCTTGCGTTATGACATCTTGTATTTTAGCATAGCGGCAAGAAACCATATTTTTGAAAACACATAGCTGGGGCTACTTAGTCCGTCGCTAAATTGTTCTCGGAGATATAAATACTATCGATAACAACCTGCGCAACTATTTCATTGAGCCACTTTTTTGGTTTTATCCAATAACTTATTTAACGACTGCTCTCTAATAATAATCGTGACTTTATAAGCCTGCTTTGAAAGTCTGATGAACAACTCAAGAAAGACCTATTTTAGCAAAGAGCTTCTTTCAGTGTCCGCTTCACTGCTTGTCTCACTTCACTAATCTTCCAGCAATAAAGAAACGGGTTTAACGTCGAGTTTAAGTAAAGTAAAATAAGTCCTACTTTCTGTGTGAAGACTAAGAGTAATGAATATTTTTTAGTATGAGCGATCACAATTCCTACTGTATACATTGGTGCATAACAAATAACTAATGCTAACTGCACCCACAGCGCACTGTACACTGCCTTTCTGAATCGCGCCAAGTTCAGTGCATCTGTTTGACTCGGGTGTTGTTGATCTTGTGCTTGTGCTTGATGATATCTGAGAGTGCAAAAAATCCTTGCGTACGATGCGAGTGATATTACCAGGCAAAATGATACAACTAGGCAGCCGTACAAAACGATTATATGACGATAAAAAATTCCACATAAAGAGGCGACAAGAGTAAAAACCCAAAAAGTTGTTATAATAATATACGTGCGCTTCAAAGTTACAATTTGTCTGTACCTCAGCCCCAACAACAGGGCGAGAAGTCTGTCCACGCTTATGGCCGTCATCGTCATCAAAGACACTAAAAGCAATGCAAAGCCTGTGATGTAGGCTGTGTCAAATGCGTATCGACAAAGGCTCCACTGTTCTTGAACGACGGACATCCAATATGTAGCATCGAGAGGCTGAACAACAAGACCAACCAACAGATCAGTGGTTGCCAGACAGCGATACAGAAGTTTGGACGGCGGATGCAGGGAAGATTCCTTGTGAAGGGCAAAAAGGATCAGAGAATTTCCAGCAAATGCTGTGATGGAGAGGAGAATCTGAACTGCTAAGAAACAAATTGATAGTTGTTGATGCGCACCCATCAAAGAGGGAGAGCATAGCAGTTCTTCAAATGATTTCGTGTGACTTCTACCGCTACTGAAATTTGTTGTCGACATAATTCTGTCTTCGGCGTTCTCTCTTCCTTGTAGGTTTCTGTTCTTGAAAAAAAAAAATCATTTTTCCCAGGAACCTTTGAGTGCCTCAGTTATGAAATAGGCAAATATAAAAACAGCTGTTATTTCAGTGTTTTTACAGTGCGGCAAAGAGCCGCCCTTTACCAGGATTAAATTCCATTTTAATAGGATGCATGTCAAGTGTCCATATCTTTTACGTTAAGTTAAGACTTGAATTATTATCAGCTACGGAAAGCTAAAAATGTAAAAGCTCAAGCTGGCGATATCAATTGTACTAGGAGAAAAATTGAACTCGTGACAATCACCGAATGTACTACGTGGACTATGCAACTATTTAAAATTAATTTATGGCCACACATGCAAACTTGACTCACAGTAGAAACAAACAAACTTCATGAACCGCAGGAAAACGCGCGAGAGCAAGACACTATTGAATACAAGTGCGTAGCAGGCGGATTTTTTGCCGCTTAGTGAAAATAGACGAGACGGAGAAACCATTCTTTTTAACCAGCTATGATGACCCTACGTGCTTGGTATCTTTCCGGGTACCAAAATATTCATTTCTTTTTCGTTTGATGCCAATTTTTCTTCAAACTTTATATTTTTCATTTTCGATCTACAATTTCTCTTACAAGTGTAGATATAGTTAGGCATAGCTAGAAATTCTTAAGAAGTGATTTAAACACTGAAAAATCTGATCGTTACATCAATCTCTTTTATAGGAGTCTTTTTTTTTCCTCAGCAAGCTTCCTTCTAATCCTCTTTGATCACTCCTTGTGGCCACGGCACCTTTAAAACTAAAGAAGCATATATTTTTCGCAACCAGCTGTTTATTCCAGTAGGTTAAGTTCAATTGAACTTCAAATTAGCATTGAAAGTTAATTCTTTTGGCAAGCACATAGACATAGGTAATATTTTTGTCTGACGACATGATAAGGGAACTCTCTTTTGTCAGTTTTTGAACGACAGCATAAGCAGTTTAAGCGGTATATTAATTATACTTTCATTCTTTTGGGCCGGTAATTAAGTGCAATCATTATCCCCGTATTGGGGTAGATTCTGAATTCCAAAAAAGCTTCGGGAAACAAGTTCAAGGAAAAAGGAGTGAAAGTTAGGAACAGTTAATTACTCGGAGTTGGTAGACATAGGATCAATAAAACTTGAAGACAACTTAAACAGAGACCAGCATTAAACTATATACTTTTTATATATACTTTTTCAAAAGTTGACATTATTCTTGTCATGAGGTTATCTATGATAGCAACCAGAAAAACATTTCGTTTTAGTAAACGCCAATTGCACAACGACGATCACTGAAACCCTATCTCCTAAATAATATCTCAAATGAAAACTTCCTGACTATTGTTTACACGTTTGAAATACGTCAAAAAATTGTCTGCTGTGTCAAAAAGGCCTTTTTTGTGTGTCTAACTTGTCATGTACATCACGCATGAAATAGTAATAAGAGGCAGATATATTTAAAGACATCTTTAAGATTATTTTTTTCATGATGCAACAAACAATCCCGCTTTAATTAACCTACCAGAAGGTATTTGCTATTAAGGCTTCAGTGCGAGTTAGTTCACCCATGAGTAAGTTTTAAACTTTGAGTCACACGACTCGGGAGCGAAGAAACGCCGAGCAGCAGTGCTAATAATTGATAATCTAGAACCATCGAAGGCCGATGTCTATACAATCTAGTGCATTGATAAGGTGTCAATCAAATGTCCATATCATTTGTGTAAGGTTGAGCCTTGAATCATTATCAGCCTCAGCAAGCTTAAAATAAAGAAGGGTTCAGCTAAGGATGTCAAATCCATGACAAACAGTCCAGTAATTTGAATGCATATAACGATTCAAAATTAATGTATGGCCACAGTTGCAAACTTAATTGAGGACATTTGAATTTAGCTGCTTAATTAGTACCATTTCGTGGCTCTTTTAACTCCGTTTCGTCTTCGATCAAACGAAAAACGGAGCAAAAGGAAAGCAGGAAATTACTGGTTCAAACAATATTTGCTGTTTCTTTTACATTCTCTATTTTCATCTCCCGCTTTTTCCAGATTGTCCTAGAAAAATTATAAGACAATTTATTATACCTTAGTTTTGAAATTTTTCTCTGCCAACATCTTGTCCGCGAAAAGAGAAGAAAAACAAGTTTGATACTTAGCGGGCTCTCATGTATACGGCAGGTGTCTGAATTTCTTAATTCCCCTGAGCGATTCGCCATTCTCTTACGATAACCAGGGTTATATGGCTATGCTAAAGTGAAAATGATAATCGATTGATCGAGAAGGAAAATGAAGGAATGGATAACTAAAAACTACAAACAATCGATAAAAATATCCAACAAGTATTTGCCTAGGACGAAGTGATATTGTTGAATAATTCCCGACACGAAGTCGAGTAAAAAATTACACCTTGTTAAACCTACATCAACAGCATTTATTATTTATGAACCTACGATCAGAGTCTTAAGCAACTCCAGCGTATCTTTCAAAATCTCCAAAATTCCTGCGTGCATCGTATATTAATGACCACACACAGACGCACGAAACAATTGTTAAAAATACCTTGTCAGAGATTAGGAGAGATTAGTTAACCACCAAAGACACGCAGCCTCGTTTTAAGTTTGGGGTGAAATCAAATTTCGTTTTTGCAGAATAATTAGTCCCTACAGATTCAACATTTTATTCCGGTTTCTAATCATTTATTTTATTTACCGACGAAGGATTAGTCGACAGACAAACCAGATGAAAGATTTAATCGCTAAAAGATGCGAATCCCTCCTTTAACAAGAGTTCTTTCCCAGGGAATTTTCTTTCTTATTCTCTTTGATAATTCAAAACAAAGACGGAAGCATTAAAACTTATTAATCAAGAACATTAAATTTGCACTGAAAGTGAATTCCCGAGGCAAACACAAAAACATGGGCTACATTTTTTGTTTCACAATGCAATATGGAACTCCTTATTGTTAAAAGATCAATTTTATCACTTCTTTAATGGGTGAAATAACCATGCCGTTTTTTAGGATGGTATGATATTGACGCAAATTCTAAGCTCATACAAAAGCTTTGAAAACGACTCGATAGAAAAATTTGCGGAACTTAAGGACAGCAGAATGTTAATCGCTCGGAAATGGAAGAAATAAAATCCGTAAAACCAAGAGACAACCTAGAGATACACCAGCGACAAACTGAACATATGGTGACCTCTATACAAATAATGCGAAACTTGCTTTTACGCCTTTGCCAATATTAATAACAGAGATGGTCAATTTTTATTTCGTATTCTTTCGTAACCTTAAGATAAACATACAAGTAACAAAAACTTTTTCTCATGAGCTTTACGAGTACTTTTCTAATGACAAAACAAATTCAAGACTAAAACTGGACCGTCTCTTTTGGCAATATGGCGTCAACATCAAAGTCAAGCTCTTTCTTTTAATTATAGGAAAAATGAGTTGAAATATTTTTCTCGTAACACACAACATCGGCCTCAAACACATCTCTCAAACTACTCTTTGAAGTTTTATCTGATGCCTTCTCATTGCTAAGAGAAGAAAACATGAAACTAAAATGTTTGCATATATTTTCTTCGCTTATGACATGTTGTATTTTAGCATAGCGGCAAGAAATTTTATTTTTGAAAACACATAGCTAGGGTCACCTAGTCTGTCGTTAAATTATTCTCGGACTATCGACAACAGCTTGTGCGACTATTCCATTGAGCCACTTATTTTTTTTTTATCCAATAACTTATATAACGACTGCGCTCTAATAATAATCGTCACTTAATGAGTCTGCTTTGAAAGTCCGAAGAACAACTCGAGGGAAACATAACTCAGCAAAGTGCTTCTCTAATTGTCTGCTTCACTGCTTGTCTCACTTCACTAATCTTCCAGCAATAAAGAAACGGGTTTAAGGTCGGGTTAAAGTAAACAAAAGTAACTGCTACTTTCCGAGTGACAACTAAGAATAGTTTCGACTGTACATATTGGGGCATAACAAACAACTAATGCTAACTGCACCCACAGTGCACTGTATACTGCATTTCTGAATCGCGCCATGTTCAGTGCATTTGTTTGGCTCAGCTGTTGCTGATCTCGTACTTGTGCTTGGTGATGTCTGAGACTGCAAAAAATCTTTGTGTACGATGCGACTGATATTACCAGGCAAAATGATGTAACTAGGAAGCTGTATAAAAAGATTATGGGGCGATGAAAAAATCCACTTAAAGAGGCCACAAGGTTAAAAATCCAAAAGGTAGTTACAATAATATACGTGCGCTTCAAAGTTACAATTTGCTTGTATCTTAGTCCCAACAACAGGGCGAGAAGTCTGTCCACGCTTATGGCCGTCATCGTCATCAAAGACACTAAAACAATATATAGCCTGTGATGTAGGCTGCGTCAAATGCGTATCGACAAAGGCTCCAGTGTTCCTGAACCGAGGACATCCAATAGGCAGCATAGAGAGGCTGAGCAACAAGACCAACCAACAGATCAGTGGTTGCCAGACAGCGATACAGAAGTTTGGACGGCGGATGCAGGGAAGATTCCTTGTGAAGGGCAAAAAGGATCAGAGAATTTCCAGCAAATGCTGTGATGGAGAGGAGAATCTGAACTGCTAAGAAACAAATTGATAGTTGTTGATGCGCACCCATCAAAGAGGGAGAGCATAGCAGTTCTTCAAATGATTTCGTGTGACTTCTACCGCTACTGAAATTTGTTGTCGACATAATTCTGTCTTCGGCGTTCCCTCTTCCTTGTAGGTTTCTGTTCTTGAAAAAAAAAAATCATTTTTTCCCAGGAACCTTTGAGTGCCGACATTGTTCTGTAACCGTTTCCCTTTTCTTGTACTAAGGCAACTGGTGACGAGAAATATTTCGTTTAAGCAGCATACGCTGAGCGACGATGACTGAAACTTCCTTCAATAAACAAGTAGAGACTTCCTCATCAGCGTTTGTTCATTCAAAGTGCGTAAACAAATTGTCTGTTGTGCCAAAGAGTTGATTGCTTTTTTCCGGAACCCCTCAGATTTAAGCTTCTTTTTAATATTAGAATTCATTTACATTTTAATGGTTTGATGCATAATTTTATGCAGATGATATGGACACTTGATTAGCTCCCTATCGATGAAAGATCATTAGGAGACGTGACTAAAATAGGAACAAGTGAGCTTTAAGAGTCAAACGTATAGACAGACATCTTTGATACTATTAGTATTTCATAATTATTGTAAATGTCGTCTTCTCAGGTAGAAATTCACCTTTAGCTGAACGGAGATGGAGTCTCACGTTTAGTCTCGGAAAATTATAGGTTTTGGAAAGAATTCATTAAGAAAAGGAAAGTGTTTATTTAAATCCATACACCCCCTTACACAATGTTTGTTATTATCAATGACATTTTCAAACATTTATAGGCAATGCGGATATTTTTCTAATGACAAAACAAATTCAAGTTGACAACTGTTTATAACAAGGACAAGAGAGTTGCCAGGAGATGCTGTGATGAGAGGAGAAAGTACACCGCAGAGAAGGAAATGGCTGCTTGATGCCGGCAACTCATCAGCCAGAAAGGTTGAAAAGCCACTTTCCAAACCTGGTGTTCGTTTGTGTTAGACCTCCTATATCATTAGTTGTCGCCGTGCAGTTCAATATACGGTCGTTTCCTTTTGCCCGCTAGTTACCTGTATTTGCAACGACAGATATTTCCTATCAACGGCACCTGGCCGGTCACGATCAATCAAACCCTTTTGCGTGACCGGCCGGGCCACACGCACGCAACATTTTAACGCAACATCTTGCAACATTATTATTATTAACCAGACATCCTGACCGAACAAGCTTGTCAGTTCAAGAAATGATTTATGATAAAGGAAACATTTCGATTAAAGATTGCAGCCCACCTTCCTCCAAAATTAAATCATTTACAATTCCAATACTCAATTCTGTCACAAGAGAAGCCAATTTCCTCCCACAGTTGCATTAAATATAACTCTTTGTCAATTTCTTTGTAACGAGTAATTCTCTCACTGATATGTCATTCCGTCGATAAACTCTAAAAGTTCCTTTTATAGATACAAAAGTTTTATGTCACAGGACCATAAAGGATAGAAACATTGTCTCTCGCGGGAAAAATTTCCTGTAAATTATCTTCGATAATAAGTGAGGCAGAATGTTTTTCCAGTTTCTTATATATTCCTTTGCATTAAAGATCCGACAAGCGTTCAGTATCCAGAAGCATCATGAAGCAATCAAGTATATATAGGAGTGAAACCCGAGAAGGATCTAGCTCCACGGACAGCAAAAAGCTTGTCTTAATGTCTGCTTCACTGCTTGTCTCACTTCTCTAATCTTCCAGCTGTAAAGAAACGGATTTAATGTAGAATTAAATTGAACTAAGCCTATCGTCAACCGCCAGAAGACGACTAAGTGCAATGATTCTGTGTTGCTTTGGCTGATCAAAGTTTCTATTATAAAATATGGTATATAACAAACAACTAATGCAAACTGCACCCACAGTGCACTGTACATCGCTTTTCTGTATTTCACCATGTTCAATGCATTTGGTTGGCTCAGCTGTTGTTGGACATGATGTTGTACTTCAGCCTGATGATGACTGAGAGTACGAAAAATCTTTGTGTACGAGGTGATTGAGATTAGCAGAAATAGTGATATGCTTATACGACCAAGCCATAAGGCTATACGGCAATTTAAAATACAGCACAAACAGATTAAACTTGATAAAACCCAAAAGGCAGCTACCATAATATATGTGCGTTTCAAAGTTGCAGTTTGTCTGTATCTCAGTCCCAACAATAGGGCTACAAGCCTGTCCACGCTTATGGCCGTCATCGTCAATAAAGAAACTCCGCAAAATGTGTAGCTTGTTGTGAAGGCGGCGTGGCTTGCGTATCGACAAAGACCCCAGTTATCGTTAGCCAAGGACATGAAATAAGTAGCCATCATAGGCTGGCTAAAAATACCAACCAACAGGTCAGTTGTTGCCAGACATCGATACAAGAGTTTGGACGGCGGGTGAAGGGAAGATTCTTTGTGAAGGGCAACAAGGATAAGAGAATTCCCAAGAATTGTTGTAATAGAGAAAATAATGTAAACTGCAGCTGAAGAATAGAGTGATTGTGGTTGTAATCCACCTGCCAAAAAAGGTAAGCACCGAAGATCTTCAAATGCAGTTGTCTGTGCTTCATCTTTGGTTAGATTTGTTTCCGCCATCATTCTGCAGTCGTTTTGTTCTTTCCTCCAGGTTAAGTGTGATTGCAACATAAAATATTGCGTCTAGAGAGCACCTGCCCAGCCTTGAAATCACTTAAACTGCGTTGATCGCTGAAATTTAATAATCATATGAATAATCGTATGATCGTATATTGTCATTTGTGTCCAAAAAAAATGTTGAACCATTTTTTTTAAAGCCTTACTTTTGATGGGTAGGTCTGATTTTCCTCTGATCATTTTGCAAAGTTTTTTTCACAAACGATTGGTCCTTAAAAGAGAACTTTACGAGAAACAGCGATAATCAGGTTTGGTCTTTTAGTAAAGTAAAACGTCTAAACAATGCCATGCGACGCAAATTATTGTTTGGTTAAAAATTCTTGATTTTACATTTCCCATGTCAGGATTTTTGATAGAAACGAAATCTCGAGTCAATATTTTGTTCTACCTCGGTGTCATGTTTCTTCGTTCGATCGCCATCAGAAGATGCCTGTATAATTCTCCTTTGCTGTTTCTGCACCTTTCTGTGTGAAATGGTTACGATAACCCGGTGTTGGGTAATGCTAAACACCCTCAAAACAATAACAATCCTTTCTCATGCCTGTGTTCTGGAAGATCTCTTTATTTGCACCAAAAACGTAGCCTTTAATTTTCTCCGGGTTTTTTATTGGTTCAAACAATGTCATCAATGGGCTTCTTAGAAGTTAGTGAGTCCATCGGCACCATTTCGACTATATCTTCAAATAAATGCAAACAGAAAAATGGAGATTTTTACTAGCCTCAGGAAAGATTACAGGAGACTACAGCATCTCGAAAGTTGGTATTTCACTGGGCTTTTATCTATTGACACTTAGGCCCAGTTCTTTAAAGTGTAGTCGTTGTTTGACAAAACTGCGTTCTAAGCCATCTTCAATTTAGTTGAACCTTTTATCTTGGCATACATTTTTGTGAATAGTATCTAGAGGGTTGAGATCTAATAAAGGAAGGACATTTATTATATTTAATCCAGCCTCTTATAGAAAACACCTGCTTTTCGCTGCTTGCGTAAAACCACGGTTTGGGTTAGACCTTGTGTAAATAACCGGCCTTAAATTTTTGATGAAACATAACATTTATTCTGCTGCAACACTTTTCATTATTGACAGTAAGTTTCCTTCTTACCTATCAGTTAGTTTCATATCAATATAACCCAGTAAGTAAACTATTAATGAAAGCAAAAATCTATGAGAGACAACAATAATCGAATTCATTTTAAGCGTGGATCTCAACTAAGTATTAATGACAGTTGAAAAAAAAAAAGACATTTATTTTTTTTTTTTCCCTGGAAATTATTGACCATTATATTAAAAAATCGAGGCCATAGTGGGTTTTGTGACCACCACGTAAATCAGATGTCCGTTGTCACTCAAACATTTTCCTACAATTTATAATCATAAAATTATATTAATTACTGGATTGTGATTGGTTTAAAAGACTCCTGTTTTCTACTAATTCACTGCCAAATTGTTATCGGACAGTCCAATGAAGTGACATTTATGGCTGCATAAATGAGTAGGTGTCGTTCAAATTTTGATCAGCTTCTGGAAACCAAACTCGAATGGGAGGCGAGACGTCAATCAGTTGGAGACAACTTGAATGCCGACTGTGGACTTCTAATATAAAAGCAGGGGCAAAAATGGTTTAGTTTCTCGACATCACTGTCGTTCACTGAGTTCAAAAGCTCATGACAACAATAACAATCTTATTATTTTTTCTTCCCATGACAAACTGGCAATGCTTGAGATAAAACAAAATTAGTTCGTTACACAAGCTGTCATTCATTTCGCAGATGGAACCACCCGAACCTTCTTCCTTTGTTTTCAAACATTCTCACCAGAATTTACTCTTGCGGCAACAGCGCCGGATTGGGTGGGGTGCGACAAGTTTTTAATCTCAATCAGTTAATTTAGGTACCAATTAGCACTGAGAGGTAATTTTGTTGAAGGACCTATCCTTCAGGTTACGTGTGATTGCAACATAAAACGTTCCGTCTAGAGAGCAACTGCCCAGCCTTGACATCACTTAAACTGCTTTGATCACTGAAACTTAATAATCATATGAATCATCATATTTATCATCATATGAAAACTTTTCAGTCTTGTTTACACGTTTGAAATGCTCGGGAATATTGTCATTTCTGTCCAAAAAAAATGGTGAGCCATTTTTTTAAAGCCTTAATTTTGATGAGTAGGTCTGATTTTCTACTGATCATTTTGCAAAATTTGTCTTTCACAAACGATTGGTCCTTAAAATAAGTCCTCTCCACTTCTACGAAATATTTTGCCATCAGACAGAAAAATGGCTAGTCAATATCGAAGAGATTTCTTCAGGAATGAAGAGTTTGAGACTTTTTATTGGCCTCGGAAAAACTTGTGAATTATCTAAGACTACAATATTTTGAAAGCTGATACTTAACTGAGCTTTTATCTGTTGACACTTAGGGCCAGTTCTTTAAACAAAGTTTAGTCGTTGTTCGACAAAACTGCGCTCTAAGCCGTCTTCAATTTAGCTTAACCTTTTATCCAAACATATATTTTTGTGAACAATATATCAAGAGGGCCAAAAGCTAATAAAGGAAAGACGTTTATTTTATTAAATTAACCCTCTCATAGAGAACACCTAAGGTTCACTGCTTGCGTAAAAGCGCGGTTTGGCTTAGATCTCGTGTAAATAACCGGCCCTCAAATTTTTGATGTAAAATTCCATTTATTCTGCTGCAACACTTTTCAGAATCTACAGTAAATTTCCTTCTAACTAATCAGTTAGTTTCATATCAAAATAACCCATTGAGTAAGCTATTAATTAAAAAATATATATGAGAACCAACAATACTCGAATTCATTTTAAGCGTGGATCTCTACAAAGTATAACTGACAGTTAAAAAAGCAAAAACATTCACGTATCTTTTTTTCCACATTATTTACCATCATATTACAAATTCGAGGCCATAGTTGGTTTTGTGACCACCACCTCCATCATTCAGTTATCACTCAGACATTTTTAACCAAATGTAATAATAAAAATTACAATTTCCTGAATTGTGATTGATTTAAAAAACTCCTAATTTCCACGAATTCACTTGCCAAGTTCTTATCGGACAGTTCAATAAGCCAATCACATTCAAAGTTGTAGTTTAAATCAACCAATTACTTTCAAATTTGCAGTTTAAATCAACCAATCACATTCAAAGTTGTCAGTCTTCAAATGTAAACTTTTGCATTTTTTTTCGTAAATTGTAATTTGTATGACTAATTGGTAATCAATGATAAATTTAAGAAACAAACGACAATCTTTAAGAGAAATCTCTCAGGACATTGTAATTTTTTGATTATTTGGTCATCATTATAAATTTTAAGCAAAAAAGGACAATCTTTAAGAGGATTCTCTCAGTAAGAGCCTGTAATGTTAGTCTTTCTCATTCGCTTACTTACTATTTACAATTTATAGAAGCATCTTCACACATTGATAAGCATTCTGAACTTTCTCGAACAAAATTATAATTCAATGTCTTTAGGAGGCCTTACTTTCAACGGTTCGCACGGCAATTTTGAGTCAAAGTCAAGCGCTTTATTCATGCAGTGAGGTTAAAAAATTGAAATTATTTCACCATTCGTAAGTGAAGAACTTGAAAGTCTCTCCTTCACTACTCTTTCAGGATCAATTTTATCCTATACATGTAATTTCATATCACTAAGAAAGTAAAACAAAAGAGTAAAATCAAACTAGCGTCCCGTTTTTTGCCCTACCATGCGTGCACGGTCCCAAGTATTGCCGTTAGTGATACAACTCTCTGTCCTTTAGCTGTGCGTGCACTTGGAAATAAAGTTTATCCACAGAAACCGCGATTTAAGCCATTGCTTGTTGGTAAGATAAGGAATTTTTTTCGTATCAAGCCAGCTGTATTGTGTACGCCAGGCAAATTCGTTCTTCTGGATGCAATATGCTAACGCTATTAACGATCCTCGTTTGATAAGGCAGACTGTATTATATTCCAATGCTGAAGCAAAACAATTTATTAATCATAACCGGAAGCTAACAATTGGATAATGAAGAGCCATTCGATAATTTATTTGACTTCAAATTGGTTTACTATATTTGCTAAAACACCAACTAGTCAGCCTTAACTAGTTAAAAATGGGCGCTCGAAAAGTCCGTTAAGTAAGAAATATTTACCTTTTATTTGCCTGGAGTTTATGGTTGTACCTTGCAGTTTTTACATCAAACAAACGGAGAAAAAACCAAGTCCTCGTTGATCAGCAATTGAATGTTATTTTATTCTTAGTGTTTACCCTTGTATGTCACAGGTAAAAGGTAGGAGTCTGCTGTTAAATAACAATGTGAGAGAGAAGTACATGTTTGTTTAAATGATAAAGTTTAATAAAAGCACAAATTAGCATTAAGAGTCAGATTTACTGATGTTTGTTCTATTATATCATTGTTTTACACCGAAAACAAAATGAAACTTCAATTTATGATGGAGTTAAACTCAATGAGAGCTAAACTGGTAGATGAGTAAGTGTTACTTTCAGTTTAGTTAAACAAAAAGCAACAACCAGTGATCGATGTAAAGGAAAACTGTCTAGATAATTTAACGTTTTCGTCGTTTTCAACTATTTATAATAACGTATCTTCATATTCATAAGCATTGTGGAAATCTTTGCAAAGACAAATCAAATACTGGTCTCTATACCGCTGGCCTTATCGCAGTGTGGCGTCAAGTCAAACGCCTTCCCCAATTGAGATAATAAATTTTGAAATCATTTCACCTTCAAAAACAAAGAATGTCAAAAAATCCAACAACCCTCTTTCACTAGTGGTAATAGTTTTGTCTTATATATCACTGCAGTGGTTAAAAAAACATTAAAATGTTACTTAGAACCCAATGTTTGTTTTTATTCCATACGGTCATATCTTTTTTTTTTCTTTTTTGGCCATTGCGTGAAACGTACTATTCTTAAATTCTCACGATACTGTTAACGTGTAGATTCCATGAGTTTTGCTTTTTCATGCGCCAAAGGAGCCATGTTGATCTACGAGGAGTATATCTAAACAGCTTTGTGATTTAAAATTCACAGGTACACCGTGTGTGGTGTCAAAAAAGGTGAATTTGTTCCAAGAAATTTTCTATATGTCTCAGGTATCAATAAGAATTTAGAGGCAAGCTTGAAGACATCTGTTACTATCAACTTTCACTGGTATGACAGAGAAAACCTTCTTTACTCGGTTAACGTTCATTGAGGATTGATATCACGTAACCAATTGTTTCTAGACCCTGCATGCAAGAGGCTTTTCTCCTTATTCATCTTTTTTTGTATCGAAGATAAGTGCCTTCACGTGAACAATGATGTGCTTGGGATGTTTACAGTTATCGTTTGTTGTCTTTTGTATTACCATATCAACAACAGTTTGTGCGCTGATGAAATCGAGTATCTAATGATAAACGTAACTTTGTAGAGCAATACGGCCATTGAAACTCAAGCGGGATTTATTTATTGTTCAGTTACACGTTTGCAATTCGTCAGAAAATTGTCTGCTGTGTCAAAAAAGCCTTTCTTTTGTACCTAACTTGTCATTTACATCACGTATGAAATAGGAATAAGAGGCTCTGAAATATTTAAAGACATCTTTAAGATTATTTTTTTTCATGTTGCGACAAACAATCCCACTTTATTTAGCCTGTGAGAAGGCACTCGATGTTAAGACGACCTAGTTTCATTGATGGGCTGTCAATCCAATGTCCATATAATTTGTGTAAGGTTGAGCCTTGAATCATTATCAGCCTCAGCAAGCTGAAAATAAAGAAGGTTTCAGCTAAGGATGTTGAATCCATGACAATCAGTCTAGCAATTCGGGTGCATATAACGATTCAGAATTAATGTATGGCCACAGATGCAAACTTATTTTAAAATATTTGACTTAACCTGTGTAATTTGTAACATTTTGTGGCTTTTTTATCTCCGTTTCGTCTCTGACAAAACGAGGAACCAAACAAAAGAAAAGCAAGAAGTTACGTTTTCAAACAATTTTCTACTGTTTCTTTTACATTCTCTATTTGTTCTCCTCCTTTCGCCAAAAACATTTAAGAGAGGATGTCAGCATCCACCGAACAAATTTGAAATATTGTGGCAAGTCGCCCAAAATTCGTTTTCTCTTCTACTTTCATATTTTTTAGCCCAATATGTTCTAATAATTGTGGTGTAGTTTTTTTGCGAAAATATATTTTAGTTTTCGAGAAATGACTTTTTTCGTTCGACCGCTCAAATATGCGAATTTTCACCGTGAAAATTACCCGAGTTGTGTGACCTCATGTAACGAATGTAATGGACCTACGGTATTTCTGTGAACATAATCCTTTGTTTTATTATCTAACCTGTCGTTATTGAAGCTGCCAAAGAAATATTTATTTATTGGTGAATATTTTTGTCCGACATACTTTTCCTATGTCGAAAAGTAGCATCAAAACAAAGACAGTTTTAACATTGACCGATATGACACAATCTACTAAACTTCAAGCTTTTATAAGATCAAAGGATGGTTATAAAGTTACTGTAAAAATTTCCTTGTGTATTTGTGTTGTTCTTTCTTGAGACGAACTCAAAGTCCGGTAAAATTTACTTGGTAGCGACTATGAAATGTACATGGTGCGCCTATTTGTCGCCATCGTTAATTGACATAAATCGCTACAATTTGTACAAAAGTCTAACATACCACTCTTATCTTGTTTATTTATGACTTTATTATTAAAAAATGTGCTTTCTTCACTAATCGTTGTTTCAGCAGCAGCGAAGCAGTTAAAAGCGGGTTGTAGCTTCAACGCTACTGAAATTTTTTTTGTATTCAGACAGGCGAGCAAAGCGTAATGCTCTGGGAATAAAAACTTTTAGAGGCCTTTTACATGATATCCGAATGAGTTTTGTACAAGAACAAGTTCATACCGGTTGCCACATAATAACCGGCGTAAAATTTATTCGAAATGAGCCATTTCTGAATGAGTTTATTGGGGTTTTCATTACAGAACGAAACACTCATTCTGGACGACCTTTTCTACCTGTACAATGTAAACGCAGCACGGCTCTCATATTTGTATGAATCCTCTGTGGGAGCGAGGGAAGCTAATTCCCCTATCAGCTTTTGGAATCGACTTAACCCTACCTTTACCACGGCCGGACATTCCTTTTGGCACCCTACATCTTCTTTTGGAACAACGATTCCACCCAACACCGAGATTTGATCAGTGAGTGGGGCAATTTGTAATGCTGACATTAGCTCTTAAGTGATTGTCCTAGGAAAATTATATGCCAAAGCTCGCCTAAATTTTTCTCTGCCAGAGTCTTGTCCGCAGAAAGAGAAGGGAAATATTTTGGTATCTAGCAAGCTTTCTTGTATACAGCAGTGACTGAATTCTTCATGTTGTAATTCCCTCGAGCGATTAGCAATTCTCCTCAGATAACCGGAGTTATATGACTATGCCTAAGTGACCATGATAATAAATTGATGGAGAAGGAAAATGAAGGAATGGATACTTAAAATCTATCAACACTCGATAAAAATACTTAACAATTATTCGCCGAAAATGAATTGAATATTGTTGAATAATTCCCGACACAAAGTCGAGTTGAAAACTGCACCTTGTTAAAACCTACATTAAAATCATTTATTATTTATGAACCCACAATTATTATTGGTCGCGTGTTAAGTAACTACAGCGTATCTTTCAAGCTCTTCAAACTTCCTGCGGGCATCGTATATTTATAACCGCACACAGACGCACGCAACAATTGTTAAAAATACCCTTTATAACATGGCGCGCGTGCTTACCCTGTATAAGTCCTATTGAGACGGTATGAACAAAATCTCTATTTACGCACGCCCGTACGTACCTGGCTTGAGAGTTTCTTTCCTGTTAAGCTGCAGTGCAATTTTTCTTCTCTTTGAAATATGGAAGAAACCAGCAAAGAACTGCCAAATTTTTCTGTCGGCATTGACCTTTTTGGTCCTGATCCAACTGCACCATGCACGGCAGCGTAAACATTTGTAGAACTTAGGGACAGCAGTTAATCTCTCGGGAATGGAAGAAATAAAATCCATAAGACTCAGAGACAACTTAAGGATTCTCCAACAACAAACGGTGACCTCTTCAAAACATGATGCGAAACGCGAATTTCGCCGTTGCCAATATAATTTCAGAACACCGATCGATCTGGAAGAAAATTCTGTAACAAACAGAGATGGTCAATTTTATTTCACATAATTTCGTAACCTCTAGTTAAATATATAACAAAAACTTCCTCACATAAACTTTACGGATAATTTTCTGATCACAAAACAAACAAATTCAAGACTTAAAATGGACCGTTTCTTTTGGCAATATGGCGTCAACATCAACGCCAAGCGCTTTCTTTTAATTATAGGAAAACTAGTTGTAATAGTTTTCTCGTAACACTGAACATCGGCCTCAAACATATCTCTTAAACTACTCTTTGAAGTTTCATCTGAAGCCTTTATATTTCTAAGAGGAGAAAACATGACAGTAATTGTTTGCATATCTTTTCTTCGGTTGTGACATCTTGTACTTTAGCATAGCGGCAAGAAACCTTATTTTTGAAACACATAGCTAGGGTTACCTAGTCTGTCGTTAAATTGTTAGCGGAGAAATAAAGACTATCGACAACAGCCGCTGTAACTATTCCATTGAGGCACTTATTTCTTTTTCTCCAAAAACTTATCTAACGACTGCTCTCTAATAATAATCGTGACTTAATGAGCCTGCTTTGAAAGTCTGAAGAACAACTCAAGAAAGACCTATTTGAGCAAAGTGCTTCCTTTAGTGTCCGCTTCACTGCTTGTCTCACTTCACCAATCTTCCAGCAGTATAGGAACGGGTTTAACGTCGAGTTAAAGTAAAGTAAAATTAGTGCTACTTTCCGTGTGACGACTAAGAGTAATGAATATTTTTTAGTATGAGCGATCACAATTTCCACTGTATATATTGGTGCAAAACAAACAACTAATGCTAACTGCACCCACAGTGCACTGTCTACTGCCTTTTTGAATCGCGCCATGTTCAGTGCATTTGTCTGGCTCGCCTGTTGTTGATCTCGTACTTGTGCTTGGTGATATCTGAGAGTGCAAAAAATCTTTGTGTACGATGCAAATGATATTACCAGGCAAAATGATGTAACTAAGTAACTGTACGAAAAGATTATACGGTAATAAAAAATTCCACATAAAGACGCGACTAGAGTAAAAACCCAAAAGGTAGTTACAATAATATACGTAGGCTTCAAAGTTGCAATTTGTTTGTATCGCAGTCCCAACAACAAGGCGAGAAGTCTGTCCACGCTTATAGCCGTCATGGTCATCAAAGACACTAAAAACAATACATAGGCTGTGATGTAGGCTGCGTCTCTTGCGTATCGACAAAGGCTCCAGTGTTCCTGAACCACAGACATCCAATATAGAGCATTGAGAGGGTGGGCAACAAGACCAACCAATAGATCATTGGTTGCCAGACAACGATACAGGAGTTTGGACGGCGGATGTAGGGAAGATTCTTTGTAAAGGGCAACAAGGATGAGAGAATTCCCAACAAATGCTGTAATGGAGAGGAGAATGTCAACCGCTACGAAGCAAATTGATAGTTGTTGTTGAAGCCCACCTACCAAAGAGGGAGAGCATAACAGTTCTTGAAATGATTTCGTGTGACTTTTACCACCACTGAAACTTGTTGTCGACAAAATTCTGTCCTCGGTGTTTCCCTTTCTTGTAGATTTCTTTTCTTGCAACGAAAAATGGCAGCAACGATCACTGAAGTCTTACCTCCTAACTAACAATCGCATAAGAACCTACTCATTTAAAATGCATCAGGAAATATTCTGTCGGGTCAAAAAAATTATTTTTCCTGAGAACCTTAGGGTACTTCAAATAAGAAATAGCAATTAAAGGCAAATATAGAAACATCTGTTACTTCAATGTTTTTACAGTGCGACAAAGAGTCACTCTTTATCAGAATCAAATTCCATTTTAATAGGATACTAATCAAGGGTCCATCTCTTTCCTGTGAAGTTGAGACTTGAATCATTATCAGCTACGGAAAGCTAAAAATTCAAAATCCCCTCCTGGCCATGTCAATTGTACTAGGAGAGAAATTGAATTCGTGACAATCACCGAATGTACTACGTAGACTACACAACTATTTAAAATTAATGTTCGGCCACACCTACAAACTTATTTCAAAATATTTGAAACTAACTGTGTATCTAATAGCACTTTGTAGTTTTTTCCTCTACGTTTCGTATCCGACTAGAACTAAAACCAAAAGAGCAACAAGATCAAGTTATCACGCCAGCAAACAATTCTCTGCAACTGTAAAAGGAAAGTTATTCAATTTTTGTTCCTGCGATTATCTTGAGCAATTAACGACTCTCCTTTGGTGACGACAATTAGTTTCCAATAATAAAGTAAACAGGATAATTTATTGATCGAGATGGAAAATGAAGAGATGGGTCGTCAAAGTTTATCAACAGTTGTTTAAAAAGTTACGATCGTCCTAAGAGAAACTTAGCCTTTACTAACTCTGACACTTATTTCAAACTCTCTAAAATTGTCACATGCTTTATATCGCACAGTGAAGAACGAATAAGGTGTTAAAGAGACACCTGCTTGCGACGACAGATTCGGACTTGTATTAGGCCTCGTTTAAACGATTGCGTTTCTTTCCGCTTTATACATATATGTAAATACCTGTTTTTGAAAACCTCTCAAATTTGAAAATATATCAAATAAATATATCTTTTCTTTTCTCATCAAAAGAGACACTTTTTGATGAGAAAAGAAAATACGTATATACACAGACTATGTCAAATATTTTTTCAAATAGCACTCTTTTCGAAAATGGGTTTATATGTATATTTATATATAAACTTTTGATCCATTTTTGTTATTTTTGGACGGGAAAATTGTTGATAGACAAACCGACAACTCGTGCAATTCTTTAATTCAGAGTAGGAGTTTTATTCAGGGAATCTTCAATTTCTCCGAATAGCGACTGCGGCTGATATGACTATGGGCTGTGACAAGTTTTTAATCTCAATCAGTGAATTTCAGTTTAAGTAGCAATTTGCACTGAAAGGTAATTTCGTTGAAGCGCCCATTACTTAATACTTATAATTTTATCCGGAACCTGTGATGAGCCTCTTGTATGAAATAGCAGCAAGAGGCAAACAGAGAGACAACTGTGATATCATTTTTATGGGGCGAAAAACAACCTTTTTTCAGCTGATCGTCCGTTGGAACATGTGGGGTGGCTCACGGATGAAATAGCAGTAAAAGGAAAAAATAGAGACATCTGTAATATCAGTTTTTCTCAATCAAAATGCGATAAACAATTCCTCAGATTCAAGCTTCTTTTTAATATTTGAATTCATTCACGTTTTCATGGTTTGATGCATATGGAGATTTCACGAGTCCAATTTTTTCTTACATCATTCAAAGTTGCCAGCTTGATCTTCGTAATTTCAGTTTGTCGAGGCTGATAATGATTGAAGTATTAGTTTCACACAGATGATATGGAGACTTGATTAGCTCCCTATCAATGAAAGTTCATTAAGAAAAGTCACCAGAATAGGAACAAATTAGCTTTAAGAGTCAAACGTACAGACAGACATCTTTGATACTATTAGCATTTCACAATTATTTTAAACGCTGTCCTCTCAGGTACGTAGAAATTCGCCTTTAGTTGAGCGGAGAAGATGAAGTATAACGTTTAATCTCGGAAAGTTAAAGGTTTTGAAAAGAATTAAAAAAGAAAAGGAAAGTTTTGATTTAAATCCATGCACCCACTTACACAATGTTTGTTTTATTACATCATTATCAATTACATTTTAAAACATTCATAAGCAATATGGATATTTTTCTGATGAAAAAAAAAATACGTTTACAACTTTTTATAACAAGGACAAGAGAGTTGTCAGGAGATGCTGTGATGGAGAGGAGAATGTAAACCGCAGAGAAAAAAAATTGTTGGTTGATGCAACTCATCTACCAAACAAGTGGATAAAGCCATTGTTTCTTTCGCTTTCTTATAGAGTATAAGTTACGTCATGAGATTGTAAGAGACTATATATTCTCTTGTGCAAGTATATCTTTTCTTTAATTAATAATTGATGCACGCAAAGTAAAGTTTGGTGGCATGTAAAATACTTTTTAAAGTTTTGGTTTGTGTTTCCATTACCTTTCCTTTATTTTGTTTTACGTGACTAGCAAAAAATACTATCGACAGACCTCGAGCAAAAATTTAAGCGACGAGCGTTCTCTATCGGTCAGCTTTGCGCTAAAAGTGTTTATGCGATGGTGTATAACTCGAGGATGGTCTAACTCCATGGACAGCAAAGTGCATGTCGGATTGTCTGCTTCATTGCTCGTCTCGCTTTAGTAATCTTCCAGCAATAGAGAAAAGGGTTTAACGTCGAGTTAAAGAAAACTAAGATAACTTCCATTGCCAATGCGATGCCTAATTGTGATGAGTATTGTATTTGTATCTCAGCCCTGCCAACAGGGCGAGAAGTCTGTCCACGCTTATTGCCGCCATCGTCAACAAAGAAACTCCACATAATGCTGAGCCTATGATGTAGGCTGCTGTCTCTGCGTAATAACAAAGAGTCCAGTGTTCGTGAACCACGGACATCTAACAAGTAACATAGAGAGGCTGAGCAATAAGACCATCCAACAGATCAGTTCTTGCCAGACAACGATACAAGAGTTTGGACGGCGCATGGAGGGCAGATTCCTTGTGAAGGGCAACAAGGATAAGAGAATTGCTAGGAAATGTTGTAATGGAGAGGAGAATGTTGACTGATGCGAAAGATGCTGGTTGAAGCCCACCCACCAAAGAGGGGGAGCATAGCAGTTCTTCAGATGTTTTCGGCAGTGTTCCACCTCTGGTGAAATTTGTTGTCGACATAATTCTGCATTCGTTTCCTCTGTTCTTGCAACGAGGAATATTTCTTCTAACTGAAACCTTCCTTTAAAAAAAAATTAAGACTTCCTCACTAGTTTTCAATCATTTAAAATGCCTCAGAAATCTGTAGCTGTGGGATGCCTCAGGCATGAAACTGATGCTGATTGATGCCCCCCGCTTAAGAGGGAGAGCATAGGACTTCTTCAATTGTTTTCGTCTGTCTTCCAATTCTTATGAAATTTGTTGTAGGCTATCTAAGATTGCAATGAGTAATATGTCGTCTAAACAGCCCACAACCAGCCACGATCAATGACACCTCATACATCAGTTAATAGTATTCATACACATGGACTAATTCCTCATCAGCGTTAGCTCATTTAAAATCGTCAGAAAATTGTCTGTTGTGTCCAATTATTGAACCTTTGAAGTGCCTCAGGTATAAAATGGCAATAAGTAGACAATGGAGAGACATCTGTAGTATTATTCTTTTAAAAGGACGACGAACAATCTCCTTTTACTTGGATCAACTTTCACTGATATAGTGCTAACATGGTGTCCAAATCATTCGTGTGAAGTTCAGACTTGTATCATTAGTAGCCATGAAGAATTGGAAATAAAAATTTCAAGCTGGCGATTTTACTTGATCTTAGAAAAGTTGGATTGGAGACAATCTGCGAATACATCAAACAATTCAAATTTAAATTTTGGTCACAGATGCAAACGTATTTTTAAATGTTTGAGTCGATTTGTAAAGACGTGCTTTTTTCTTTCCGTTTTGTTTTGCGTCTCCGGACTTATATTAAAAACAAAACCGTATCAAGATGTTATGCCGCGCGCCAAACCATTTTTTTAAATTCGTTCTCTACCAGCCTTTTTTTCCTTTCGTCAGGAAAGTTATAATGGTATTTTTTTAAACAAAAACTGTTTTGCTTATTTTGCCTATTTCTCCCTATGATGTAATTTCCTTTCTTCATCCCTTTGGTCAACAAGATAAGAAAAATAGGCGTTAACTAAAAATAAAGGAGGCGGAGAAACCATTGTTTTGCACCAGCCATGATGGCACTACGCGCTCGGTATCGTTTTAATCCCAGGGTTCCATCGGGTACCAAAATAATCATTTCTTTTCGTTTGATGCCAATCTTTAATTCAACTTTACATTTGTCATTTTCGATCTACAATTTTTCTTCTTTTAAAGTTAATTCCTTTGGCAAGCACACAGACATGGGTCAGTAATATTTCTGTTTGACGATATGATAAGGAAACTCTCTCTTTTCAGTTTTTGAATGACAGCATAAGCTGTTTAAGCGGTATATTTAAATATACTGTCATTCTTTTGGGCCGGTAATTAAGTGCAAAGATTATCCCTGTATTGTGGTGAATTCTGAATTCCTAAAAAGCGTCATGGAACGAGTTCAAGGAAAAAGAAGCGAAAGTTAGGAACAGTTAATCACTCGGGTTGGTAGACATAGGATCAATAAAACTTGAAGAAAACACAGACCAGCATTAAACTGGATATATCAAATATTTCAAAAGTTGACAATATTCTTGTCATGAGTTAAGGTGTGATAGCAACCAGTGAAATATTTCATTTTAGTTAACGCCAATTGTACAAGAACGATCCCTGAAACCCTTTTTCCCAGATAACATCTCAAACAAAAACCCACTCACTATTGTTTACACGTTTGAAATGCGTCAGAAAATTGTTTGCTGTGTCAAAAAAGCCTTTTTTTGTGCTTAACTTGTAATGTACATCACGTATGAAATAGTAATAAGAGGCAACTATTCAAAGACATCTTTAAAATTATTTTCGTGTTTTTTTTCGTGTTGCAAAAAACAATCCCGCTTTATTTAGCTTGCGAGAAGGCACTCAATATTATGGCTTCAATGCGAAATGCGAGCTGAATAAATTTGAGGATGTCAAATTCATGACAAACAGTCCAGCAATTTGTATGCATATAACGATTAAAAATTAATGTAAGGCCACAGATGCAAACTTATTTTAAGATATTTAAACTTAACTGTGTGATTAGCAACATTATTTCTTGTTGCAACAAACAATCCCGCTTTGTTTAGCTTGCGAGAAGGCACTCAATATTATGGCTTCAAAGCGAATTGAATAAGTTTGAGGATGTAAGGCCACAGATTCAAACTTGTTTTGAGATATATCAATTGAAATGTGTGATTGGTAACATTTTGTGGTTCTTTTATCTCTGTTACGTCTCCGACAAAACGAGAAACAAAACAAAAGCAAAGCAAGATAGCAATATAATTTCAGAACATCGATCGATCTGTAAAAAAATTTCTGTAACGAACAGAGATGGTCAATTTTATTTCATACACTTTTGTAACCTTCAGTTAAATATACAAGTACCGAAAACTTCTTCACGTAAGCTCTAATGATAAAACAAATTCAAGACTAAAACTAGACCGCCTCTTTTGGCAATATGGCGTCAGCATCAACGTCAGGCGCTTTCTTTTAATTATAGGAAAACTAGTTGAAATAGTTTTATCCGTAACAAACAACATCGGCCTTAAATGCATCTCTTAAACTACTCTTTGAAGTTTATCTAATGCCTTCATGATGCTAAGAGGAGAAAACATGAAAGTAAAATATTTGCATATATTTTCTTCGATTATGACATCTTGTATTTTGCCATAGCGGCAAGAAACCTTATTTTTGAAAACACATAGGGTTACCTAATCTGTCGTTAAATTGTTCTCAGAGATACAAAGACTATCGACAACAGCCTGCGCAGCTATTCTATTGAGCCACTTACTTGTTTTTATCCAATAACTTATCTGACGACTTCTCTCAAATAATAATCGTGACTTAAGGATTCTGCTTTAAAAGTCTGAAGAACTCGAGGAAAACCTAACTCAGCAAAGTGCTTCTTTAATTGTCTGCTTCACTGCTTGTCTCACTTCACTAATCTTCCAGCAATAAAGAAACGGGTTTAACGTCGAGTTAAAGAAAAGTAAAATAAATGCTACTTTCCGTGTGACGACTAAGAGTAATGAATATTTTTTAGTATAAGCGATCACAATTGACACTGTACATATTGGTGCATAACAAACTACTAATGCTAACTGTACCCACAGTGCACTGTATACTGCCTTTCTAAATCGCACCATGTTCAGTGCATTTGTCTGGCTCGGCTGTTGTTGATCTCCCACTTGTGCTTGATGATATCTGAGAGTGCAAAAAATCTTTGTGTACGATGCGAGTGATATTACCAGGCAAAATGATATAACTAGGCTGCTGTACAAATAGGTTACACGGTGATCAAAAAATCCACTTAAAGAGGCCACAAGGTTAAAAACCCAAAAGGTAGTTACAATAATATACATGCGCTTCAAAGTTACAATTTGTTTGTATCTCATTCCCAACAACAGGGCGAGAAGTCTGTCCACGCTTATGGCTGTCATCGTCATCAAAGACACTAAAATAAATACATAGCCTGTAATGTCGACTGCGTCCCTTGCGTATCGACAAAGGCTCCAGTGTTCTTGAGACGCGGACATCCAATGTAGAGCCATGTGAGGCTGGGTAATAACACCAACCAACAGATCAGTGGTTGCCAAACAACGATACAGGAGTTTGGACGGCGGATGTAGGGAAGATTCTTTGCAAAGGGAAACAAGGATGAGAGAATTTCCAAAAAATGCTGTAATGGAGAGGAGAATGTCAACCGCTACGAAGCAAATTGATAGTTGTTGTTGAAGCCCACCAACCAAAGAGGGAGAGCATAGCAGTTCATGAAATGATTTCGTGTGACTTCCACCGCTACTTACATTTGTTGGGGACATAATTCTGTCTTCGGCGTTTCCCTTGCGTCCTAGCTGACAGTCGCATAAAAAAATTTCTGTTGGGTAAAAAAACCAATTTTCCCGAGAACCTTTGGGTGCCTCTGTTATGAAAATACTAAATTATTCATTTTGTAACATATTTACTCTTCTTTCGACTCTACGTTATTCATTTTAACTTTTGATCCGTTATTTTATTCACCGATGAGGAAATAGCTGAGAAGCAAACCACACGAGTGCCTTCATTGTTAAAAAAATTCAACAACTTATTTGATTCTTGTGTAGAAGTTCTTTCCCTGGAACTTCTCCTTCCCATTTTTCTCTTCTTTAATTATTCCGAATAGCGACTACAACTTGACTACTAAACAGTAATAGATGGGCAACACAGCGGTCAAATGATTACGCATGCGCTTTTAGATGGATAATTTGCTATGGTCAACATTGAGAATCTAAATAATGCGTAGTTTTTTGTTGTTTCTTAGGAAAGCTCAAAGTTTCTAAGGCCTAGAATTATACACATTGTTGATCTAGTTTGCCCTCTCGTAATTTTTTTTACACTTTGCTTGGCGGCGTGATGAAGTCGTAAGCTTGGCCATTAAGCTGACAAAGGTAGAAGAAAGGTTCTGTAATTTGCCTTCATCGCCGGAACAAGGTGTCTGCGTTAAAAATAAGTTGAGATATCTCACTATAAAATAAGACCAAGATTTAAGCTTTCTCCGAAATCCCTCATTCAACTGTGTCACGCATTCAATTTGGAATAGTCAGGAATTTAACCTTTCCTTTTTCACTTCACATAATACATGGGTTTCAAAACACGTGCATGCGCAGTGTTTGACCGCTGTCTTTAAATTGGCCGCTATTAGCTGTTTACTTCAATCAGTAAAATTTACTTCAAGTACAAATTAAAACTAAAGTCATATCCCTTGGTAAAAATGAAGACATCAGCTATATTACTGTTTTCAAAACAATAAAGGAACTCGACTGCGACTTTTTTTTTAAGTTAAGTAATAAGCAGTATATTTAGATATACTGCTATTTCTAGGCCCGATAATAAATTGGAAATATTCTCGCTGTTCAAACTGGAAATAAAGCGACCCTTTCTATCTGATATTTTAAAAGTCTATGTTTTCTTTTTTTTTTCATTCAATATTCCTTTTTCCCTTTAGCATATAATTTCAGCAAAACGGTGAACCTGAAAGAGAACTTTGTACTAACCGTTCTTGCTTCAATTTTGTTCCTTACACTTTCTTATAATAACAAACGTGAGTATGATCCTGCGCGCGCATATCTTTTCTTAGATTATGAATTGATCTAATCATGATAATGTGAGGTAGCACTAAAACTATTTTTATAAATTTATGGTTAGTTTTTCGGTTGCCTTCCCTTTAGTTGTTAAGGTGCGAAAAATACAATCGAGAGATCTCGAGCAAAGATATATATCATGGTGTAGCTGATTGACGAGCGTTCCTTATCAGTCAGTTTTGAACTGAAAGTACTGGTACGATCGGGTAAAACTCAAGATGGTCTAACTCCTTGGACAGCAAAGTGCTTGTCTGATTGTCTGCTTTACTGCTTGTCTTACTTCACTTATCTTCCAGCAGTAAAGAAACGGGTTTAACGTCGAGTTAAAGTAAACCAAGACAACGGTTATTCCCCTTAGGATGACCAAATGCGATGAATGTGTTTTACTGTGTGCAATCACGGTTACCACGATAAAGAATGGTGCAAAACAAACAACTAATGCTAACTGCACCCACAGTGCACTATACACTGCTTTTCTGTATTGAGCTATGTTCAGTACATTTAGTTGGCTCGGCTGTTGTTGAACGGGATCTTCTGCCTGAACCTGATGATATCTGAGAGTGCGAAAAATATTTGTGTATGATGCGAGTGAAATAACCAAGCAAAGAGGTATAGTTATGAGACGGTACAAAAAAGTTATACGATCATCAAGTAAAGCGCATAAAGAAGTGACAAGAGATAAAATCCAGATGGTAGCTACAATGATATATGTGCGCTTCAAAGTTACGATTTGTTTGTACCTCAGCCCCAACAACAGGGCGAGAAGTCTGTCTACGCTTATGGCCGTCATCGTCATCAAAGACGTTAAAAACAATGCAGAGCCCGTGATATAGGCTGCGTCAAATGCGTATCGACAAAGGCTCCAGTGTTCCTGAACTAAGGACATCCAATAAGTAGCATAGAGAGGCTGGGCAACAAGACCAACCAACAGGTCAGTTGTTGCCAGAGAACGGTACAAGAGTTTGGACGGTCGGTGGAGGGAAGATTCCTTGTGAAGGGCAACAAGAATGAGAGAATTTGTAAGGAATGCTGTGATGGAGAGGAGAATGTGCACTGCTGAGAAAAAGTAAATATTTCATGTAATCCACCTCCAAAAGATGGGGTGCATAACAGTTCTACAAATGTTTTCGTCTGTGTTCCACTCCTAGTGAACTTTGTTGTCGACATTGTTCTGTAATCGTTTCCTTTTTCTTGTACTGAGGCAACTGGCAATGAGAAATATTTCGTTTAAACACCCCAAGCTGTGCAACGATGACTGAACCTTCCTTCAATAAACACATAGAGACTTCCTCATCAGCGTTTGCTTGTTCAAAGTGCGTAAACAAATTGTCTGTTGTGCTAAAGAGTTGATTGCTTTTTTCCGGAACCCCTCAGATTTAAGCTTCTTTTTAATATTAGAATTCATTTACATTTTAATGGTTTGATGCAAAATTTTATACAGATGATATGGACACTAGCTCTCTATCGATGAAAGATCATTAGGAAACGTGACCAAAATAGGAACAAATGAGCTTTAAGAGTCAAACGTACAGACAGACATCTTTGATACTAGCAGTATTTCACAATTATTTTAAACGTCGTCTTCTCGGGTAGAAATTCACCTTTAGCTGAGTGGAGAAGATGGAGTCTTACGTTTAATCTCGGAAAATTGGAAGTTTTGGAAAGAATTAATTAAGAAAAGGAAAGTGTTTATTTAAATCCATACACCCCCTTACACAATGTTTGTTATTATCAATGACATTTTCAAACATTCATAGGCAATGTGGATATTTTTCTAATGACAAAACAAATTCAAGTTGAAAACTGTTTATAACAAGGACATGAGAATTGCTAGGAGATGCTGTGATGGGAGGAGAAAGTACACCGCAGAGAAGGAAATGGCTGATTGATGCCGGCAACTCATCAGCCAGAAAGGTTGAAAAGCCACTTTCCAAACCTGGTGTTCCTTTGTGTTACACCTCCTATATAATTAGTTGTCGCCATGCAGTTCAATATACGGTCGTTTTCTTTTCCCCGCTAGTTACCTGTATTTGAAACGACAGATATTTCCTATCAACGGCACCTGGCCGGTCACGATCACTCAAACCCTTATTTCTTAAGGCCCGGCCACACGCACGCAATATTTCAACGCAACATCTTGCAACATTATTATAAATAAAGACACTCCGCAAATGTGTAGCTTGTTGTGAAGGTGGCGTCGCTTGCGTATCGACAAAGACTCCAGTTATCGTTAGCCAAGGACATGAAATAAGTAGCCATCATAGACTGGCTAAAAATACCAACTAACAGGTCAGTCGTTGCCAGACAACGATACAAGAGTTTGGACGGCGGGTGAAGGGAAGATTCCTTGTGAAGGGCAACAAGGATAAGAGAATTCCCAAGAAATATTGTAATGGAGAGGATAATGTAAACTGAAGCTGAGAAATGGATTGATTGTGGTTGTAATCCACCTGCCAAAAAAGGGGAGCACCGAAAATCTTCAAATGCGTTCGTCTGTGCTCCATCTTTGGTTAGATTTGTTTCCGCCATCATTCTGCTGTCGTTTTGTTCTTTCCTTCAGATTACCTGTGGTTGCAGCATAAAATGTTGCGTTTAGAGAGCACCTGCCGGCCTTGAAATCACTTAAACTGCTTTGATCACTGAAACTTAATAATCATATGAATAATTATATGAATAATTATATGAATAATTATATGAATAATCATATGAATAATTATATGAATAATTATATGAATAATTATATGAATAATCATATGAATAATTATATGAATAATCATATGAATAATTATATGAATAATTATATGAATAATTATATGAATAATTATATGAATAATCATATGAATAATTATATGAATCATCATATGAAAACTTTTTCAATCGCGTTTATACGTTTGAAATGCTCGGGAATATTGTCATTTGTGTCCAAAAAAAATGGTGAGCCATTTTTTTAAAGCCCTTCTTTTGATGAGTAGGTCTGATTTTCTTCTGATCATTTTGTAAAGTTTGTTTTTTACAAACGATTGATCCTTAAAAGAGAACTTTACGAGAAACAGCAATAATCAGGTTTGATGTTAGTAAAGTAAAACGTTTAATCAATGCCATTCACCACAAATTGTTGTTTGGTTAGAAATCCTTGATTTCATATTTCCCACGTCAGGATTTTTGATAAAAACGAAATCTCGAGTCAATATTTAGTTCTACCTTGGTGAGATGTTTCTTAGTTCGATCGTCATCAGGAGATGCTTGTATAGTTCTCCTTTGCTATTTCTGCAGCTTTCTTTGTGAAATGGTTATGATAATCTGGTGTTGGGTAATGATAAACACCCTCAAAATAAAAACAATCCTTTCTCATCACCTGTGTTCTAGATGATGTCTTCATTTGCACGAAAAATCTTTCCGGGTTTTCATTGATTCAAACAATGTTATCAATGAGCTTCTTACAAGTTGGTGAGTCCATTGGCACCATTTTGACTATCTACCAAAAAATGCTATAAATATAAGTCTTCTCTACTTTTGCGAAATATTTTGCCATCAAACAAAATATTAGCTGTTCAATATTGAAGGGATTTCTTCAAGAATAAAGTGTCTGAAATGTTTACTAGCCTCACGAAAGTTCTTTAGACAAAGTTTAGTCGTTGTTTTACAAAACTGCGTTCTAAGCCATCTTCAATTTAGTTGAACCTCTTATCTTGGTATAAATTTTTGCGAATAGTATCTAGAGGGTCGAGATCTAATAAAGGAAGGACATTTATTATGTTTTATCTGCCCCCTTATAGAGAACACCTACTTTTCACTGCTTGCATAAAAACCATGGTTTAGATTAGACATTGTGTAAATAACCGGCCCCTACATTTTTTATGAAGCATACCATTTATTTTGCTGCAACACTTTTCAGTATTGATAGTAAGTTTCCTTCTAACTTATCAGTGAGTTTCATATCAATATAACCCATTGAGTACACTATTAATCAAAACATGATTACGATTAATTGATGATTAATAATAAATTTTCAGAAACAAACGACAATCGTTAAGAGAATTATCTTAGGACATTGTAATTTTACCATTAATTGGTCCTCATTAGTAATTTGATGATAAATTTTAAGCAACAAAATATTTAAGAATTCTCAGTAAGAGCCTGTAATGTTAAACTGTTTCTCATTCGCTTACTTACTAGCTATTTACAGTTTATAGAAGTATCATCACACATTGATAAGCATTATGGACTTTTTCGCTCAAAATTACGATTTCGTGTCTTTAACAAGCCTTACTTTGAACGGTTCACGCGGTAATATTGAGTCAAAGTCAAACGCTTTATTTCATGTACTGAGGTTAAAAATTTGAAATTATTTCACCATCCGTTAGATAAGAACTTAAAAGTCACTCCTTCACTACCCTTTCACAATCAATTTTATCCTATACATGTACTTTCGTACCACTAAGATTGTAAAACGAGTAAGTAAAATCAAACTAGCTTCCCGTTTTTTGCCCTACCTTGCGTGGACGGCATTTTTTATGTCGATCAAATCATAATTTGTTGTATTCAAAATAACTGCCGTCGCATAAAACTTACTTGTCCCAAGCATTGCCGTTAGTGATACGACTCTCTGGCCTTTAGCTATACGTGCACTTGGAAATAAACTTTATCCACAGAAGCCGCGATTGAAGCCACTGGTTGTTAATAAGATAAGGAATTTTTTTCGTAGCAAGCCAGCTGTAGTCAAACGCCTCCCTCAGTTAAGATAAATACCATTCTTAAATTCCTACGATATCGTTAACGTGTATATTCCATGATTTTTGCTTTTTCATGCACGAAATGAGCCATGTTCATCCATGATGAGAATATCTAATCAGCTTTGTGCAGCGACTTCATTAAGTTTCTTACTTCTTCCTATTCAATGATATACCCGACAGGATGCGTTATCTAATAGCGTCGTCACGTTACATACTTGCTTGAAACAACTAGGTAAGAGTATAATGGAAGAACTAACCCCGTGGACAGCAAAGCGCTTGTCTGATTGTCCGCTTAACTGCTCTTCTTACTTCACTAATCTTCCAGCAGTAAAGAAACGGATTTAAAGTCGAGTTAAAATAAACCAGGGTATTCACTATTCCAAGAGCGACGACTAAATGTGATGAATCTCCTTTTATATGAGCCATCAAAATTCCCACTACACTCATTGGTACATAACAAGCAAGTAACACTAACTGCACCCACAGTGCACTGTACACTGCCTTTTTGTATCGCGCCATGTTCAATGCATTTGGTTGGCTCGGCTGTTGTTGAACATGACTTTGTACCTGAGCGTGATGACGGCGAAGAGCACAGAAAATCTTAGCATATGAAGCAATCGAGATTAATAGGCAACATGAGATGACAATTCGACCAAACCAAGGCGCTATACGAGAATCTAACACGTTGCATAGAGTAGCGACAAAGGTTACAATCCAAAGAGTAACGACAATGATATATGTGCGCTTCAAAGTTACAATTTGTTTGTATGTCAGCCCCAACAACAGGGCGAGAAGTCTGTCCACGCTCATGGCTGCCATTGTCAACAAAGACATAAGAGATAATCCATACCCTGAAATGAAGGCTGCTACCCATGCGAATCGACAAAGTCTCCACTCTTCGAAAACAACTGACATCCAAAGAGTGGCAGCGAGAGGCTGGCTTACGAGACCAACCAACAGATCACTTGTTGCCAGAGAACGGTACAGGAGTTTGGACGGCGGATGAAGGAAAGACACCTTGTGAAGTGCAACTAAGATCAGAGAATTCCCAAGAAATGCTGTAAGGGAGAAAAAAATGATGACTGCCGACAGACGCAGTGCGTATTGTTCAAATTCACCAGCCAAAGAAGAGGAACATACAAGTTCTTCAAATGTATTCATTTGCGTTCCATCTCCCGTTGAATTTGCTGCCGCACTGAGAGCACCTGCGCAGCGTTGATCACTTAATGATCCCCGAATGTCGATATCTTATAGCGCGATGGAAAATCCTTCGTCACTCAGGCGAACAAGTTAGAGTTGCCAATTTCTTCACAGAAGTCACATTAAATATAACTCTTTGTAAATTTCGTTGTAACGAGTGATTCTGTCATGTTATTCAATCGATAAACTCTAGAAGTATACTCCAAAGATGCAATAGTTTTTTTTTACTGCAACTTTCCCTTCAAATTATCTTTGTTAAATAGAAGAGGCAGGATGTTTGTCGCCTAACAGTGTTGTGCGTCACAACTACACCACATGTATATTCAGCTTGTTAAGTTCAATCTTTGAATGACTTAGCGCTAAGAGGTAAAATTAAAAATGAAATATTGTGCTTTTTTTTTCATCCTGCAGTTTAAGGCAAAAACCAGCCTTACTAGGGAGAAGTGACGTTGATGGCTGCATAAATGAGTAGGTGTTGTTTAAATTATGATCAGCTTCTGGAAACCAAACTTGAATGGGAAGGCGAAACGTCAATCAGTTGGAGACAACTTGAATGCCGACTGTGGACTTCTAACGTAAAAGCAGGAGCAAAAATCATTTAGTTTCTCGACATCACTGTCGTTCACTGAGTTCAAGAGCTCATGACAACAATACCAATCTTAATATTTTTTCTTCCCATGACAAACTGGCAATGCTTGAGATAAAATAAAATTAGTTTGTTACACAAGCTGTCATTCTTTTCGCAGGTGAAACCACCCGAACCTTATTCCTTTGTTTTCAAACATTCTCACCAGAATTTACTCTTGCGGCAACAGCGCTGGATCGGGTGGGCCGCGACAAGTTTTTAATCTCAATCAGTTAATTTAAGTACCAATTAGCACTGAGAGGTAGTTTTGTTGAAGGACCTATCCTTCAGGTTACGTGTGATTGCAACATAAAATGTTCCGTCTAGAGAGCACCTGCCCAGCCTTGAAATCACTTAAACTGCTTTGATCACTGAAACTTAATAATCATATGAATCATCATATGTATCATCATATGAAAACTTTTCAGTCTTGTTTACACGTTTGAAATGCTCGGGAATATTGTCATTTCTGTCCAAAAAATATGGTTCACCATTTTTTTTAAAGCCTTACTTTTGATGAGTAGGTCTGATTTTCTACTTATCATTTTTCAAAATCTGTCTTTCACAAACGATTGGTCCTTAAAAGAGAACTTTACGAGAAACAGTGATAATCAGGTTTGGTGTTAGTAAAGTAAAACGTTTAATCAATGCCATGCAACGCAAATTGTTATCTGGTTAGAAATCCTTGATTTTACATTTCCCATGTCAGATTTTTGATGAAAAACGAAATCTCGAGTCAATATTTAGTTCTAGTTTGCTGACACTTCCTCAGTTCGATCGCCATCAGGAGATGCCTTTGTATAATTCTCCTTTGCTATTTCTGCAGCTTTCTTTGTGAAATGGTTACGATAATCTGGTGTTGGGTGCTGATAAACACCCTCAAAATAATAACAATCCGGATCAATATCAGTATCTGGGCAACTGCCCACCTACCCCTCCCCTAACCCAACATTAACCTTAACTTGTTGTCAATTGACTGTTGTTGACTGTTGTTCAGTTAGGGGAGGAGTAGGTGGACGGTTGCCCAGATACTGATATTGATCTAACAACCCTTTTTCATCGGCTGTGTTCTAGATAATCTCTTCATTTGCACTAAAAACTTAGCCTTTAATCCTTTCCGTGTTATCACTGATTCAAACAATGTTATCAATAAGCTTCTTACAAGTTAATGAGTCCATCGGCACCATTTCGACTATATCTTCAAATAAATGCTATAAATATAAGTCCTCTCCACTTCTACGAAATATTTTGCCATCAAACAGAAAAATGGTTAGTCAATATCGAAGAGATTTCTTCAGGAATGAAGAATTTGTAATTTTTACTAGCCTCGGAAAAACTTGTGAATTATTTAAGACTACAATATTTTGAAAGCTGATATTTCACTGGGCTTTTATCTTTTGACACTTAGGGACAGTTCTTTAAACAAAGTTTAGTCTTTGTTTGACAAAACTGCGCTCTAAGCCATCTTCAATTTAGCTTAATCTTTTATCCAAACATATATTTTTGTGAAAGTATATCAAGAGGGCCAAAAGCTAATACATTAAAGTCATTTATTTTATTAAATCAACCCTCTCATAGAGAACACCTAAGGTTCACTGCTTACGTAAAAGCGCGGTTTGGGTTAGATCTCGTGTAAATAACCAGCCCTTAAATTTTTGATGTAACATCTCCTCTGTTATCCCTCCCCTTCCACAATCTCTCCCATAACAAAAGCTCTGCCTGTAATCCTGCATAATTTGGTATGTCCTGTCTGTAATGGTTACAAAATTCCAAAACATTGGCCTTCCAGGCAGGGTCAGTAGCTAGTAAAACAGAGGGAATAATCGAAATACCTTTATAGCAAACAAATACATCATCCTGGAATCTGATGTTGAGCTGCTGGAGTACATGGTCAAGAAAAACTCTAGTGAGATTGATCTTGAAATACCCCTCAGGAGTTGCAGCAGGAGCATTATTTCTATGCATTTGTCTCTGGGCTATCCTTGGCATTTCTGGCTGGACTGCTACTTGTCTTGCAATGGTCACTGCTTCCTGGTAGAGATTATGATGTCTGTTATCAATGTCAGTGCTCATGTCTTCAAGGACTGATTTCAAAAGAGCAAGTTCATCTTTAGCTTTTAGAAGATCCATTGCTTTTGTTGCAGCTTCACTGTGAGTGGTCTAGTTAATCCCAAAATATGTCTGACAATAACAAGAGAAACAATAAAGGAAAAGTTGATTGCATTAATTAAGGACTGAGCATCATGTCTGCTTGTTGGATTCAGGTTGAGTCTCCAGGGCTGTTTCTGTTAAGTGAGATGTCTTCAAGTGTAGCTGTGACTGGGTAGAGAAGTTCAACTATGCGGTCCATTCCATCAATCCGTTCAATCCATCGTGTGCGGCACACATCAATTAAAACAGTATGGTTTGCCCGAGGCAATAGTACTCTGATCTTGGCTATTAAATGTTGTTGACGCTTGGGAGAGTTGTTAAAAAAATTAGAAATCTTGCGCACAATATCCATCATGTTCCTGACAATTGGCAATTGGCAAGTGTCTGCTATGCACAAATTAAGCCTGTGGTTCATGCAGTGGACATAGATTGCCTTTTCGTGTTCTGCACTGATCAATGAGGAGGCTCCATTTAGTCTTCCAGCCATATTGCCTGCACCATCATAACACTGCCCACGACAGTCTTCCATTGTCAATCCTAAGTTTGCTACAGCTGCAGTTATAATGTCCTTGATAGTCTCCCCTGTTAATCCCTACTCACAAATGTAATACCCAATAAATTCTTCTCGGATGGTTTTAGTTGTATCCAGAAATCTTATTACTACAGAAACATTCTCCTTATTTGAAATGTCAGCAGCTTCATCTGCCATAACTGAAAAATACTTACTATTTCTTATTTCCTGTGATAGATCATTCAAAATGTGAGCACCAACAGTTTCTATCATTTCATTCTGAATGGTCTTTGAAATGTATGTGGCATTTCTGGGTGCAGTGTCCAGGTGTTGCTGCAGTGTTTGGTCACCACTGTCTACCCGGAATTCTAGCAATGCCTGGAAATTACCGGTTAGGGCAGCATTAGTGGGATCATCATCTCTCCGCCCCCTGAGTGGGATGTTGTTTTTCCCACAGAAAATAATAGTTTTGAAAAGGGACTTTAGAATCTCCCGATTTCTCGCGATTTGCTGTTGAACTATGTTATTTAACTGCTGGTCACAGCTCCTCTTTGCATCATTCTCTTGAAATCATTCATAGCAGTCATAGAAAAATTGTGAATTTCAAAATTTCCTAGCGAGTGTTTGGTTAAGCGAGAAGCGGCCGAAGTCCAATTTGTGAGAGGAGACTTCAATAATTTGTCTAACTTATTAGCGTTTCGCCCACACTGAACTCCAAAACAAACACAAGCTAAACAAAATGCTCCATCGAAATATTTGGAGTAAGCTAGCCATGGAAATCTTTTCAGCCAGCCCGAGACAAACTTACGAGATTTTCCATTTTCCATTGACACGGGGAAATCAAAAAGCTCACCTGGTTTCCACACGTTTTCGACGAACTCCAGCTTCTGATGCGGCGAGTAGTTGTGGATCTCGTCGAAAACTAGGCCAATGTCGAAGGGAGAACAATCCCGCTGGGGGAGGAACTGCCCTTTTTATACTTTGTCAGTAGTTTCCAAGGTAGTTTCCAAACACAACTAGCCAATCAGAAGAGTGTTTTGAGTGAGTTCCGATGACGAAATCTTTGCTAGCCAATCGTGAGGGGTTTTGACTGTGTTCCGCCTGTTATTGTCACCAAATAACAAGGACTTACACCCACCGGTTGCGTAAAGATTGGCTCCACGAACATTTTCCGACGGCTTCCGACGGTTTCCGAGGTGTAATCGAAGCTCGAAAGGCCAGCGCGTGATCCGGAGCGCTCCCGAACGCCTCATGACCGCAATTATAACGAAATTAGTCATTCTAAACGTATTTTCTTTAATAAATAACTGTAAAACAGGAAGATGGTTTATTTCTGGAAGACGTTTAGTGATTTCCACAAAAGTATCAGTAGTTTCCAAAGGGAAATTAGAGTGTTTTCCAAAAGTACTTTTATCAACATTTAACTAGGTCGGAAAAAATTTGAGTGAGTTCCGGAAATCAGGTAAACTACCCTGGATCCACCCCTGTCACGTATCTTTTTTTCCACATTATTCACCATCATATTACAAAGTCGAGGCCATAGTTGGTTTTGTGACCACCACCTCCATCATTCCGTTATCACTCAGACATTTTTAACCAAATATAATAATAAAAATTACAATTCCCTGAAATGTGATTGATTTAAAAAAACTCCTAATTTCCACGAATTCACTTGCCAAGTTCTTATCGGACAATTCAATAAGCCAATCGCATTCAAAGTTGTAGTTTATATCAACCAATCACTTTCAAAGTTGCTGTTTAAATCAACCAATCACATTCAAAGTTGTAAGTCTTCAAATGTAAACTTTTGCATTTTTTTCGTAAATTGTAATTTGTATGACTAATTGGTAATCAATTATAAATTTTAAGAAACAAACGACAATCTTTAAGAGAACTCTCTCAGGACATTGCAATTTTTTGATTATTTGGTCATCATTGGTAATTAATTATAAATTTTAAGCAAAAAAGGAAAATCTTTAAGAGGATTCTCTCAGTAAGAGCCTGTAATGTTAGTCTATCTCATTCTCTTACTTACTATTTACAATTTATAGAAGCATCTTCACACATTGATAAGCATTCTGAACTTTCTTGAACAAAATTATAATTCAATGTCTTTAGGAGGCGTTACTTTGAACGGTTCCCACGGCAATTTTGAGTCAAAGTCAAGGCTTTATTCATGCAGTGAGGTTAAAAAATTGAAATTATTTCACCATTCGTTAGTGAAGAACTTGAAAGTCTCTCCTTCACTACTCTTTCAGGATCAATTTTATCCTATAAATGTACTTTCATATAACTAAGAAAGTAAAACAAGAGAGTAAAATAAAACTAGCGTCCCGTTTTTTGCCCTACCATGTGTGCACGGCATCTTTTTTGTTTTTTTTTTTTTTTTTTTTGTCGATCAAATCATAATTAAGTTGTTGTATTCAAAATAACATGCATGGAACTTACATGTCCCAAGTATTGCCGTTAGTGATACAACTCTCTGTCCTTTAGCTGTGCGTGCACTTGGAAATAAAGTTTATACACAGAAGCCGCGATTTAAGCCATTGCTTGTTGGTAAGATAAGGAATTTTTTTCGTATCAAGCCAGCTGTATTGTGTACGCCAGGCAAATTCGTTCTTCTGGATACAATATGCTAACGCTATTAACGATCGTCGTTTGATAAGGCAGACTGTATTTTATTCCAATGCTGAAGCAAAACAATTTATTAATCATAACCGGAAGCTAACAATTGGATAATGAAGAGCCATTCGATAATTTATTTGACTTCAAATTGGTGTACTATATTTGCTAAAACACCAACTAGTCACCCTTAACTAGTTAAAAATGCGCGCTCGAAAAGTCCGTTAAGTAAGAGATATTTGTCTTTTATTTGCCTGGAGTTTATGGTTGTGCCTTGCAGTTTTTACATCAAACAAACGGAGAAAAAACAAAGTCCTCTTTGATCAGCAATTGAATTTTATTTTATTCTTAGTGTTTGCCCTTGTATGTCACAGGTAAAAGGCTGGAATCTGCTGCTAAATAACAATGTGAGAGAGAACTACAAGTTTGTTTAAATGATAAAGTTTAATAAAAGCACAAATTAGCATTAAGAGTCAGATTTACTGACGTTTTTTTTATTATATGATTGTATTACACCGAAAACAAAATGAAACTTAAATTTATGATGGAGTTTCACTCAATGAGAGCTAAACTGGTAGATGAGTGTTACTTTCAGTTTAGTTAAACAAAAAACGACAACCAATGATCGATGTAAAGGAAAACTGTCTAGATAATTTTACGTTTTCGTCGTTTTCAACTATTTATAATAAGGTATATTCACATTCATAAGCATTGTGGAAATCTTTCCAAAGACAAATCAAATACTAGTTTCTATACCGCTGGCCTTATGGCAGTGTGGCGTCAAGTCAAACGCCTTCCCCAATTAAGATAATAATCTTGAAATCATTTCACAGTAGTAATAGTGAGTCGGTATACCGAGTAACCAATCAGGATCGAGTATTTTGATCACGTGGTACAAATGGACCAATCAGAAAGCCGGACTTTCACATTCCATTCTGATGACGTCACAAGAACCGCGCGAGCTATTGGTGACGAGTTTAGCGTGTGTGAGGAAAAAAGCGGGGTTTGCAAGCGTCGGCCATTTATTTGCGGTCTTTTTCGTTGTCACTTGCTCTAACTTCTTTACAATGTCAAAGTATTTTATTTTAACTTGTTTGTTGTTTCCTTCTATTTCTTTTTTAATTTTGTTGGCACTTTGTCAATATTATAATCGAGGGATTTATTCCGAAGATTTTTCGATGGAGGAATGGATGCAAGAGTGCTGCAGACGCGGTAGTTGGGATTGCGAAGGTAAAATAAGAATATACTTTTTTTACACATGTGTGTGTGTGTGCGTGTGTGTGTGTGTGTCTTTGTGCGAGCCATTACCGTCAAAACTATACTTGATGGTACAAAACAGATAAATAAGGCTGACTGCAACCATAGTGCACTGTACACTGCCTTTTTGTATCGCGCCATGTTCAGTGCCCTTGTTTGGCTCGGCTGTTGTTGAGCCTGATGACGACTGAGAGTACGGAAAATTTTAATATACGAAGCAACTGAGGTATCAGATGACACGACCCAAACAAGGAGGTATAGGAGAAACAAACACAAAGTATAGGGTGTCGGCAATGGGGACCACCCAAAATAGCGCTAGAGCGATATAAACGCGTTTTAAATTCACAATTTGTTTGTATCTCAGTCCTAACAACAAGGCGAGAAGTCTGTCCACGCTTATGGCCATCGTCGTCATCAAAGACACTGAAGATAATACACAAGGCGTTACAAGGCTTGCACCGAGTACGAATCGACAAATACTCCAGTGTTCACGAACCTCGGATATCCAGAGAGAAGCAACGAGAGGATGCGCAAGCAGGCCTGCTAAAAGATCAGTTGTAAGTAGACAACGGTATAAGAGTTTGGATGGTGGATGAAGGGAAGATTCCTTGTGAAGGGCAATAAGGATGAGAGAATTGCCAAGAAATGCTGTCATGGAGAGGAGAATGTTGACTGCTGTGAAAAATATTGCTTGCTGTTTTAGTGCACCTCCCAAAGCGGGGGAGCATAGCAGTTCTTGAAATGTTTTTGCCTGTGTTTCATTTCCTGTTAAATTTGTTGTCTCCATCATACTGCAGTCGTTCTGTTTTTTCTCGAAATTTACCACCTATTATGGCAAGAAATATTTCGCTTTAGTAAGCATTGGAAAAGTTAGGATCACTTCCACCTTGCCTTCATAACAGCAATTAAACTAAGACTTCCTTATTAATGTATATTCATTTAAATGCGCAAACAAAGTGTCTGTGCTGCCAAAAAAATTTCCTTTTCTTTTCACTATTAATTTTCCCACGTATGAATTAGTAATAGGACGGAAGCATAAAGACATCTGTATGACAAACAATCCCTCTTCAACCAGATGAGCATTCATCACTGAAGAGTATTTTTTAAAATGTTGTCTGTGTGTGCTATTGAGCATTGTATCATTCTCAGCTATGCCAAACTAAAAAGGTTAAGGCTGCGCCTCGTGTGCCACTTTTTTGTTCTTACCATATTTTGACGTCATCTGTGATCTATTACTGAACAGACGCACGGCAACTTGGAATCTATTTGTTAAACAGACGACGTTGCTCGCGTTGACGTGTCACGCAATGGTCACGCACTGAAAGAATAGTTTTAATTGAGGTCGATACTCTGGTAAAAAAAAAAAAATCGACAGTAGTTTAGCGTGGTCTGCACTGTTATCGAAAACGATACTTGTCATCACAAATGTTAAAATTTGTTGTGGAATCACGAGGCGCAGTATCTTAACGGCGCTTTTTTTTAGCTGTAATGCGATTTCGTTTCTCATTTACTTTCAATTTACTTTCAATGACAATGCTAAAAACGGACCAAAGCGATGAACTGCTAAACCTAATGAGTTGATAAATTGAACTGAACTAAAAATTTGAACGGAGCAAGGCCCTTGACTGTACTGACAATTGTAGATCAAGGTTTCTCATTGGGAAGTAGATGGAACAAATATAAAACGAAAAATTTAGACCTGAAAAATGTCTTATAGGATAATAATAATAATAATAATAATAATAATAATAATTTATTAGTTGTATAGCCCTATTTACATGTACAGATCAATAGTGCTTTACACTGAATAAAAATTAAAAACCTTATATATCTAAATAAAAATTTACAATAGTAATGGTAGCTAAAAATATATAAGAATAAATTATTTTAATGTAATATATCTGAAGTTAATGATTACAAAAAGCTTTATTAAACAGAAACATTTTAATAGCTTTTTTAAATTTATCCAAACACTTAATCATTCTAATTTCATGAGGAAGTCTGTTCCATATGTATGGTGCTGCTGCCCGAAAAGACCGATCTCCCAATGTCTTCAGCATCTTACCCTTAGGGGGCTCTAAGTAAAGACCGTCATTAGATCGAAGACAATAAGAAGATTTTGATTTAATAGATATAAGGCTGTTAATATGTGACGGAGCTAAATTATGAACCGCTTTAAAAGTAAGTAGAAGAATTTTAAATTTAATGCGAGCCTGGATTGAAAGCCAGTGTAACTCATATAGAATAGGAGTAATATGCGAGTACCTTCCAACGTTCAGTAGCAGTCTTGCGGCTGCATTCTGTACACGTTGTACTTTAGCTATCAGTTCCTTTGAGGCACCATACAAAAGACTGTTACAATAATCTAATCTATTCGTTATAAACGCATGAACTAAAGTATGGAGACTGTCTTCGTGTAAATATTTCTTAATGCTTCTAATGTTATGAAGATAAAAGAATGCAGATTTGCAAATATTTGTAATATGCTTAGACATGCTTAGGTTAGCATCCAACCAACAGCCTAGATTTTTAACCTCGGAGCTATTATTAATTACCGAGTTGCCAACGGAGATACTGATTGGCTGTAGTTTAGATAATTGTTGTTTGGAGCCTATTAAAATCAGTTCAGTCTTGCTATCATTAATTAACAGTCTATCATGAATCATCCACTTCCTGATCTTTTCAATACAGTTCTCCATTGCTTGCAAGACCTGGTCTTGAGATGTAGTATTAGGTTTAAAACTCAGATATAACTGGAGGTCATCAGCATAACAATGAGCACAAGGAAGCTCGTGTTCAATGATCTTAAAGAGCTTAGATGCATATATAATAAATATAATCGGTCCAAGACAGACCCTTGAGGAACTCCGCAGCCTAAATCGAATGGGTTAGATATCGATCCCTCGATGTCAACTTTTTGCATCCTGTTATGGAGATATGACTCAAACCAGCTCAGGGAAGAATCAGCAATACCTAATTCTTCGTGTAGACGTTTGATCAGTATATCATGATTAACAGTGTCGAAGGCGGCACTAAGATCCAACATGACAAGAAGAGTGACCTCTTGTGAATTCATCTTCATTAAGATATCGTTAACAACTTGAAGAAGCGCTGTTTCGGTACTATGTCCTTTTCTGTAAGATGATTGCATTTCTGGATAAACAGAATTGTCTATCATGTGTAAATGAAGTTGATTATACACCGCCTTTTCGGTGAGCTTCGATGTGTATGGCAAATTACTAACAGGTCTGTAGTTACTAAGAAGTGGATCAAGACCAGCTTTTTTGAGCAACGGCTTAACAAGTGCACATTTCCAGACACCAGCAAACACACCATCCACGAGGGATAGATTTATCATTTTTGTGATCACGGGAAGCAGGACATCAATGCAGCTAAAAACCAGTGAGGTGGGCATCGGATCAAAAGAACAGCTTTTCTTTGCGCTACATTCGATAAGTTTCCGTACTTCGAGTTCAGAAAGTGCTGTAAATTTACTAAATTCGGGGGTTGGTGACAATGTACAGTTTAAAAGCGGGTCTGTGGAAAGATCTTGAGCCATAACGTCGAGTCTTGTACCAATATCAGTGATTTTTTTAACAAAGTACGAGCCCATCCTATCAGCTAATTCAAGCATATCATCGCAAGGTGGTAGCACAGTGTTCTTTTTCCTTTGATTCAAAAGAGTATTCGCAGCTGCAAAGAGCTTTTTTTGGTTTGAACTGTTATCATTAATGAAGTCATGATAGTATTGGCTTCGAGCTTCGTTCATTAATCGATTTGTCGTATTCTTGATCTTTTTGTATGACAACATATCGTCGTGTTTCTCGTATAACTTTGGATCGAAGTGGAGCATGTCTCTCGAGCACTCGGAACAAGGTATCGTTATAGCATTTAACGAGATCGTTAAGCGAATCTGGACTGTAATTACAAAGCTCAGAGGTAGACAGATCTTGTTTAAAATCCTCAATCTTGATTGCCTTCAGTTTTCTATATGATATTTGCTCAGTTTTGGGAGATGGTTTACTTAAGGTAAGATCGCAAAGAACAGTAAAATGGTCTGAAAACAAGTAGTCAGTCATAGGTTTGGCTGTAAGAAATGAATCCGAGCAACGAGTAATCATTAAGTCTAAGGTGTGCCCAGATATATGTGTAGATTTATCCACGTGCTGTTGAAGGCCCATAGACGATAGTAAATCTTGAAAACGAGAAGCATCAGAGTCAGTATGTACGTCAACATGAATATTGAAATCACCCGTTATCAGCAACGGCTCAGGAGACATGATGATCGACTCGAGGTAAGTTATGAATTCATCAAAGAAAACACTAGTGGTGACTGGATGGGCTTGAGAATATGGTATACGATAGATGACAGCAATTCTCAAGCTATTTGAACCATAACGCAGAGTCCATTCAAAAAATTCGAAAGATCTACGCTCACCACCGTCCATTTTCTTGGCATCTATGCCGCTCTTTATTAAGAGGGCAAGTCCACCACCAGTCCTTCCAAGATGCGGTTGATCGAGCAGCTTGAAACCAGGCAGAGTAAGTTCAGCTCAATGTGCAATGTCACGTTCCGTCAACCATGTTTCTGTAAATATGTAAATGTCCGCACCGGTGGATGCTGCATAGCAAACAAAATCCGCAGATTTGTTTTTAATTGATCTAGCATTCAAGCAGCAGAGCCTAAGATGATTTTTGACGTTAGGAGATTGTTCTAAGATAGTTGGAATATTAATGATGGTACGGACATCAGGTCTTTTGTGATTATTTTTCACCGTGTGATGGTTACCATGGCGACGTCGCGTACGTTGAGAGATACGAACTGAAATAGATTTCCTATTCTCCGGGCCAGGCAATGGATGAACATCACCGCTAAGCAAGACTGATAATTCCGAAAAATTAAAAGTTGACGAACTATTGGAATAATAAGAGATTTTACTCTTGAACCATTTTTTCTTGATTTTATATACTGGTACAGAGCAGCGATTGTCTAATGAGACAAATGAAGCACGAATAGTACGAGGTTGAATTGAATTGCTTCGCACTTCACTAGGCACAGTGTCACAAAGAAGTGTTGATGAATGCAGAATTCCACCAGGCTTGTAGTAACCATTGTTTGAAATACAAAGAGTGGATGTAGAAAACCATTGCACAATCCAAGGTCGAAAACCGAAAAATCATTTTTGCAGACGAACCATTCCAAATTCGAAAGCCAAAAATTGACATGCTGGAGAGCATCATGTTAGATACTCATTTCTTGAACTACTTTTGTGAGGAGGACTTGGGGAAAGGCTTGAAAGGAGCAGAATCGCACAGATCAAAAACAGCATGTCCAAGACTAATTATGTGTTGATACATTAATTGTCAGTTAGGATAGAATCTTTCAGTTTAAAAAATTCACACAAACCGCTACTAGTACATTGCGTGGTAATAATTTTTTTTCCCTAGTAGCTTAAGTGTAGGTTTCTCTGACTTGAGTGAAAGACCAAAATCAATAAAATATTTCTCTCATAGGGTTTCGGCTAATGGGACTTTACCAGTTTTTAAAAGAAAAACTGTTGAAATTCAACTTATTTCTTGTTTTCTTTAAGTCTTAGGTGCAACAATTTTTTAAAGTTAAATCTGATAGGAAGGAAATTGTGATTCCTTGAAAGAAATTTAAACAACCAGACACACAAGATGATGACATTTAACTAGACAATCAAAAGGGAAAAGGAGTAAAAATCATTTATTTGATGTATTTTCCTTTCTGTTTATGTCAGGGCCATTTTCATTAGCATACAGGAA